CCAGAAAGCCTGATGATGCATTGATTGGCCCGTGGAAATCTCGCAGTGTGGGGAGTGGTCATGCAGACCGCCGTTCAGCTTCCTTGGCCTCGTCAGGTTTGCTTTGCAGACCTCGCGGGTCGGGAAAATGAGAAGACGACGCAGGTGGGCGCAGCACTTGTTGCCGTTGCTGTAGTTCGCATTCTGCTACAGCCCGCAGTTCGCAACATATTAAGTCCCAGGGGTCTCCACTTCCCCGGGCTTCGTCTGGACGGAATGCATCTATGCACAGGGTAGGGGCTCCTGTGTGCAATGTGTAGGTCACCGGCGAGAGGTTCGTGGAGCTGAGCTTCATTAACAAGAGCTGGGCCCTTTCCTCCAGAACTTGGCACTCCGGCTCCTTGCTCACCGCATGCGCAAAGGCCTGCTGTACCTGTCCGGCTGCATCCAGAGCTTGGGCCAGCAAAGTGAGCCCCCCAAGGAAGCTGGTGAAGTGATCCGCATCTTTTAGTGCACAAGAACATGTGCTGTGCCAGTGCACCTAACCAGCCACCTCTGTGCAGCTCACCGCCGGCGCCTTCAAACTGACCATGGCTCTGGCACTCCGCGCCTCGGTGAGCACATGAGACAGCCAGGAAGGCTTTAGCCGACGTCCTTTCAACCGCGGGGTAGTCCTGGTCCTGAGTTGAGACCACAAAGGATCGGCAGAACCGTTTAGCCAAGGAAGTCGAAGGGCGTGGACATGTCGAAGCCCCCTGGCAGCCCTCAGCTGACCTCGCAGAGCTTTGCACTTCGCGACTCCGTCATGAATTGCAGGCGTGGACACTAGAGGCTGATGTGTGATCGGCATGCTGGCTGATTGCGATTCATGCACCACTGAACATTCCCGAAGGCTCAGTTCCTTCGAAGCCAAGGTTTCGCAACTCCAAGCTGACACTGCAAATAGCTCAGGCGGTTGACTCTGTCAGGCAGGTTCTTTTGCTGCTCCAAGCTGAGGCTCCTCTCAAACGCGCTGTCGGGGAATTCGAGAACATCGATGATTGGAACGTTGAGTCCGGCGGCGACTTGACAGAACATTGGCAGAGCTGAGAGTGCGACGGTGGAACTTCTGCAGTGTTCTTTTCGAGGCAGCCCACTTCGAGGAGAGTCACAACACACTCAGGCGCGCTTGTGGTCCAGTCTAGTCTTCGAGCTATTCCGAGCTTGGCAGCAAGCCGGCTGACCCATCATACTGCAGAGCTGTTGGTGAGGTTTGCTTCGACAGTGAAGACCATCAAGGTGCAAGCCAAAGCAGCGCGAGCGGTGGACAAGGACTCAAGACAGCAGCAAGACAGCTTTCATTTAATTCTGTTCGATCTTCCAAATGACAGCATGTCTCACCGATGGAATGGTGTTTCTTCTTATCCATGGCAAGATGCTGGAGATAGCCTACTAAAACCTACTCGCACAGCCGAAGCAGCAGCCCACGTATAAGTCATCACAGGCCAGTCGCACGCAGTGATCTGGAACTCTAGATCGGCAGCACCAAGCACTTTACAAGCATCCAGGTGGCAAAGCTATGCTGAGCCCCGTGATTCAGCTGTACCATAGGACTACATACAGCCCAAACCATCCTACATCTGTTAGTCTGACTTGAGAATGCTTGAAGATATCATGACGAGGTGTTGCGGGGTTCATGTACATTGGCACCAAAGCAGCTTTGCTTTTCGCCATGGCCAATCTCGGTCCGCTTTCAGAGCCTCTGAAGCTGCTGGATGGAAGGCTGATGCCGAGGATAGGCCTGGGCGTTTACAGGCCCGAAGATATCTCACAAGGTTTCAGAAAGCGTGAGGCCTTAGTGATTGAAGGTTTGGATGGTTTGAATCTTTCGAGATTACGAGGCCTTGAAATCGGTGCCATGGAACTCGACAAAAGTGCGCGCAGATGGAGTATCGGTTTCACGGTCCCCCTGTTGCGAGGTCCAAGCCTGGCCCGGAAACGTACAACGCCGTCAAATGGGCATTGGAAATGGGAGGCTCAGATTGGATTTATGACATGACCAGAAGCAGGCCGTTTCGCCACCAGTGCTTTTGACTGAGTTACTACCGGCACGAGCAACCGTCTTGTTCCAAGGATATCGTTTGGTGGATACTGCGGCCTTGTATCGCAACGAAAAGAGTGTGGGCGAGGTGGGCTGAAGTGCTAAAGCCTGCACAACAAGCTTTCGCACAAGCTCGCAAATCGTCTCACGTCGCTTTCAAATTGCCATCCCGAAGAGTAGCCGTTTCTGCTCTCCTGCAATCTTGCGCAACGGAGGCCTGCGCTCAGCCATGGCAGAGCGAGAGCAAGAGCCGCAGTGGCGGGAGGATGGCCGAGAGGGGACCTCGGAGCGATGGGAGCAGACCACCTGGTGGGATTCAAAGAGCTGGGATAGCTGGAAATGGGACCAGAGATGGACCAGCACATGGTCCTGGGAGGGCGAAGAGAAGGATGCCGAGGACGTTCAGGTCCCAAAACCAAGCACAGATTCCATGGTAACCTCTTCTTCCTGTGCTTCGCCCACATCCCAGAAGTTGATCTTCGTGCTGGGAATGCCCAAAACTGGTACTACGTCATTGCATGAAGCATTTGTGAGGGCCGGCTTGAACTCCGTGCACTGGGCCTTGGATCAGGGCAAAAACCTCAGCAAAGACACGCAGCTGCGCCTTTGGGGTGCCGGTTCCGAATGCCGACTGGTGGGAAGACTCATAGATCAAGCTGTGAGCGAGGGCAAGGAGCCTTTAGCCTACCTTCCGCAGGTGGAAGCACTGGCCGAGATGAACGGCATGTTTTGGAAGGATAAAGCAAAAACTTCCGTTCAGGCATACTTTCCGCAAATGGATCACTTAGAACGGCTGCTGGAAGCTTACCCAAATGCGTACTTCATCTTAAATGTGCGGAACTTGGATGACTGGGTCAAGTCCGTGGATCAACACAACGATTTGCGCAAGCGATTCGTTTGTGCAGATTTGCCAGGTTTGCCAGCCCAGAAGGGGGCGACAGACAAGGAGCTCGTGGAATGGGTAGAAGCACACCAGAAGCGCGTTCTGACTTTGCTTCCCAGCCGAAAGGCAAATTTGCTACACTTTGATATCGACCTTCATGGGTCGCGGGAGCTGAGCCAGTTTCTCCAGTGCCCGATCACGTGGCCTCATTGCAATCGGACAGCACGCAGGTAGCCGGCTTGCCGAGACAGCATCTTCGGTCTCGAAGCTTTCTTCGGAGTTGGCGTTCAGGCCTCTGCCACACTCTGCCCCAGCAGAGAATCGAAGAAGTCAGCCTGGCGATGCCGTCCTTGCTGGAATCCCCGACAGGAGTACCAGCGGTTGTCACTTGCCGTTGTCAGGCAATGCCGCTGTGCTCGTTCTTCTTGCACGGTTGCGCTCACAGACAACAATCGGCGCATGGCACGACCAAAGCAAGCTCCTTGCCACGTGGGGGAGCAAGCAGTTTCATGAGCTAGAGGGTGCTGGGCTACTGCAAAGGCCGGGGCGACCCGAAGGCTTCACGCTATGCTCCAGTGCTCCGCCAGAAGAGTCAGCCGTCGATGGTGGCATACAAGAGGCCTGGTTCATCCAGCATAATTAACTTCTATCCCACGCTTTAGACCCTGCTCATACTCGGGTTTATAGGGGGCGGATGCGAGGCAATTCCTGCAGCTACACTGTCTTGGGTTCTTCCAAGACAGGAAGCACGAGGCCTCCGGCATGAGCTTCGAAACCTCATTTCACGAGGTCTGAGCCAAATGAATGCACCGTGGCATCCGCAACAGCATGTCCGACTTCATCTATTTCATCTGGCGGTGCAGATGCGATGCCTGTCTCTGGGCGGCTTCCGGCGTGAGCTGCGAAACTTTTGCTAATACCATGCGGTTCCACATGCGAGACCTCATAGTGACAACATCTCCCAGATATGGAGATACTGTATGGATCTGGCCCTGCGACTGCCTTGCAACATGGCTCAAGCGGATCACAGCTTTTGCTATGCAAAAGTCCGCGATGAATCAATGAGTGCCATCGCGACGAGCAAAGTTCGATCTGATCACTCGGAGTTCGTGCATGCGCCGGGTGACCAAACATAGCAAGAAGCGCACAGTCACTGTCGTCATCAACATCCCGGCAAAGCCCGGTGGAGTCGCAGACTTTCACCTCTGAATTTCGGCCGTTTGGACGATTGGAAGTTCTCGAACATGGAGCTGCCAAATGGGGCAAAAAGCTGGTTCTTGACGCGCTAGATGATGCGCCGCAGACACTCCACGACGACCACTATGCTGTGGGCATGTTCGGGGTCTGCTGCAAAGCTAAGACTCAGCTATGCTTTGGTCTGCTTCGGCAGGAGGATTTGGAGCGCGAGAAAATGCATTTCATTCTGCACCGCCATGAAGCTGACAAAGAAGGTCTAGTTGTTCTGTCAGACGGCAGCATCGCAGCAGGGAGCACGACTCAGCAGATCATGACATGCAACTAAAAGGCTCTCATTAGACAAACTGCAAGGAACGAATTGTCCAAGACCATTAATTTTAGATTCGGAAGGCCATCAAGGATTCGGGACTCTCCCGAGAAGATGTTTGGATCACTACCAAGCTTTGGGACAGTGGGGGCCCCGGAGGCATTTTGCCGAGTGTGCAATTGCAGCATGTGCTAGCGCAGACTCCGAAGCTTGACACATGCGAGGTGATCACGGACGGGTCCTCAGCAATTGGTTTTGGTGGCCTGTCTCTCTCTCTCTCTCTCTCTCTGCTTGTGGATTGTGGGTGGGTGGGGCACGCGGTGAGATTGCAGGCGGCCGAGTTGACGTCTCATCCGGTCTCGTTCATGTCCGTGGTTGTTACTGTTACTGTTTGTAGCTGCTGTCATGAGCATGTCGTTGCGAAATGTGTCAGTTGGTTGATCTGGGATTGCCCTGCTTAAGATTTGTTGTTATTGTTGTTGCTGTTGTAGCTGTGCCAGTGTTGGCATTGGTGAGGTTGTTGGAGGTAGTATGAGGTAGTGCACTGGCTGCTGCTGCTGCTTCTTCTGCTGCTGCTGTTGCGACTGTTTCTGCAGACGTCGGTTGTTGCTGTTGTCATTGCGTAGCAGTGCAGGGTTACATGTAGGACCACTTCCCCTGCAAGTGATCCGGAATTCTGCGCCATGCTAATGCTGTGAGGATACGAGGCCACTCTGAAAGCATGCGAGAATAGCCTACATCAACTCGGAGACTCAGCGGCAGCTCGAGGTGTGTCGTCCTGTGCCCAGCGGGCTCGGCACCCCTTCTCGTAATCGCACGGTAGAAGATCTCAAGGAATGTCATACATCGACTTGTACTTGCAGCTCGGACAGCAAGAGTGTGAATCTATGCGTCATGACCGTGTCATGTGGAGGGCACTGTGGCGACAGCAGAGACTTCAGGATCCACTCCCCGAACACCGGTAAGTTGGTCGAGACCTGGGATGCATTGATCGAGCTTCAGCGCCGCGGCGTGGTGAGGTCCATCGGCGTTTCGTCTCTTGGCCGCATCGGATCAGTCTGGACGAACCGGTATTGGGAACTAGCTCTGGGAATCAGAGCAGCCGCCGAAATCTCCTGCCGATCGAATCTGCTCAGACAAGCCGGACACCGATAGTCTCAACGGGTCATGTGAGCATGAATCATGTCGTGCATGCTAGCTTTAAGCTCGTCTCGTTCACCTTGCGACTGAACGATAAAGTTTCCAGATACAAGTATCGGAGATACCTGGCCTCGTAGGATTGCGTTCCAATCGCAAACCGCAAGGTTGCGGGGGTTTCAAGACATCCCACTCCAGGTTACGCGTTGGTGTGTGTGTGTGTGTGTGTAATCTCGCGATTTTCGCATCAGATCGCAAGGCGGAAGAGGCAGCAGTTCAACTGTTGTTCATCCTTTAGTTCATCGCAAGAGTTTTCATCCAGGCACAATGGGAAGTAGTACCCACCGAATGGCCGGGCTGTTTGTTGCATCCTTTGCACCCTCTCTTCCACCGCAAGTTCTCCCTCTTCAGCTCAGCAGTGGAACGCAAAAATCCGCGCAACCGTCGCGCGAGTTATTGCAGGCCTTGGGGCGAGTCTCAGTCTCTGTAGAAGCAGTGGCCAAAACCTTTTGCCATCCAGGATCCCAGGCCGAGACTGCGAGAGCTAAATCCAGCTGAGTCCACGACCATGTAGGGTCTACTTCCATAGCAATGATCGATGCGAACACAACGAATCGTCCGCAAATCGCCGGCTTTCGAGGAATTTCGGGGTGCCGCATTTGGAAGCGCTTCGATCCTCGGGCCGCCAGCTGCCCGTTGTGAATCAGATCGTTGCGGGGCTGCAAGAGCTTGCAGACTTCTCCATTGCGTCCTGCGCGTGATGTCCTACCTGAGAAGCAAACTCCAGGAAATGCACCCGATGGTGTACCAAGAGCGAAAGCCCGTGCTTGAGCCGGGCACCCAGAGCCCCAACGCTCGTTGAGACTGTGTGATCTTTGGCCCGTGTGCTTGAAGCACTGAGGTTTTGCGCTGCTCATGGCATCAAAGTCACAGCTTATGGTTCAATTTTTTCTGGTCAGCAAGAACAGCTAGGAAGGACATCGCAAGGGCCAGAGCAACAAAGCCAGCCACTGCCTGCGTTTGTCGACGCTTGAACATCCTGAGTTTCTGTGCGACTCTGTGCGCAGGAAAGAGGTGGCACAGGTTCTTGCTGCACACCCGAGCACCTTGATCTTTCAGGTAGGCAGCGGCTGAGACAACGCGCAGGAACCGCACTTTTCTACATGTTTACATTGTGCACGTACACCACGGCAGTCAAGATACAGGGTTTTATGCCACGTGGGTTGCTGGTGTCGTTATTCACATGCCATACTTCTGGCTTTCATGTTTGATCTTCAGTCGAAATCGCTGCAAGGTAAGACGCCGGCACAAATTCTGCTGCGATGGGGCCTGCAGATGGACTTCCAAGTGATACCAAAGCCACTCGGTTGCAGCTGATGGTAGGTCATCTGAGTATTGCATCGCAGGTTTTGTAGCACAGCATGGGGATGCTGCAGCTCGGATGAGAAATCTTAGGAGTGTTCGCCGGGAGCGTCTCGAGGAGAACATGTCGCTCGGCTGAAGTAACGCATGCAGAGCCACCAAGCTAGAGCCTTCCGTAGGAGAATGCTTCTCTGTCAATCAAAGCCGGATCAAAGTTGCACGCTGCTGCAAGTGAACAGAATTGCAATTGAATCGGGTCACACAGCCCCATGGAGGAATCTGATGGACTTCGAGCTGACGCCCGGCGAGGTACCAGCAGCTGTTGATGGGGCATGGTGGGGCCTCCTTTACTCCTGACCTCCATATATTGTTGCATAGAGACTTTGGTATCGAGGGTGCCCTTCCTAAGCTTCCTAAACCAATTCGGTCTTAGCGGCAGTAGCGCGCCCATGCCTTGGATCAGAGCTGTGTCTGGTAGTCAGGTTCGGCACGTTTGCCCATGTGGGCGTGTCTTGTAGGCATCCAAGCGTTGCAACATATGAAGCTGTCCCCTCTCGCAGATGGAATCGTTAAGTGCGATGCGTGGAGCCTTGCACGAGTACTGGCATCTTGGCATGCTGAAGTGAAGCGGGTTCGGGGCCAGGAAATTCCGAGCAGAAGTTTCGAGACCGCGCCAGGAGAGACAGTCCGCGACCTAAGGAACCCGTTGAAGAGCAAGGTTGACCTGGGACGGACGGATCGGGGGCATCTCGATGCATCATCTGTTGCAGTTCTTCTGCCGGTTACGGGATGCCTAAGCACTGCTTAAACCCTGTAGAGCAGTGGTTGTAAGCTTTCGTTGCTTTCATTACAGTAGTAGGGGGTGATCTGAAGCAAGCGTTTCAGTGTTCTGCTGCCGCACGGCTGTGGCTGAGGACAGCGGGATCTTGAATGATCCATGGAAATGCCTTGTGTTGCAGACAAAAAGGAAGCTCTTTCAACGGCACCCCAAATTGCGGGAACGACTGCACTGGTGCTGGCCGACTCAGTGTTCTCAAGCAGATGCTCTCTCCGAATCAGACGGGAAACCTCGGGAGAGATTGACCCGCTCGCTCTGGAAAGGACAGTCTCGTGAAGCAGCTGCAGCTTGAAGTGCAGCAGTTGAAGCTCGGACCAAAATCAAGCTAAACCCAAAGAAGCCCATGAGCTTTGACTCCCTCCCCAAGCGCACGTAAGCACATCAAGCGCACGTGGTGTCGGCTTGTAGGTGTCCCAGCATGGCTTCCATTCCGTGGTTCCTGTATAATTCAAGTCCCATCCCGAGGAAGCTCCAGCTGGAACAGGCGCTTGAGGGCTGCAAAATTGTGGATATCGTAGTTGCTTGCCAAAACAGCAATGTCGTTGGTGCTGACTGCCCCAGGCTCAAGAGAAGCATGATGACGAGGCCTGGGATGCCTTAGCATCGAACGAGACTCTGAGAGCCTGACCGCTGCGAGAGGACATCCGAGAAATCAACGTCCAGCTCGAAGCCACGACTGCCATCGTCGCGCGTCAAACGTGGCCCAGTGGCATTGTGCTCGTAGCATCGGGATACTCTGCAGTGAGCTTAATGACGTGTGATGCCCAGGCGAGACTGGATGGTCTTCCAGCAGGCCCGGCTCAAGCCAAGTGAGCTCCTACGACTTTAGGATGTGCGCCAACATGAATCGCGCATAGTATTTGGATGGTTTTCGGCCGGCAGTTCTTGGCCTTTGGCAGGAAAGTGCAGAGCTCAGCAGGAAGCGGACAAAGACCATGGAAAGTCTCATGGCACACTCGCCGTGGACTCAGCTGTTGAAAAAACGGCTGATAGTAGCTGATAGCAGCTGCATGGCCACCTCAGTGACAGAAAGGACGCTTCTGCTTCATGCAAGCATCCGTAGCCGGTGAGGGGGAGGTAGGCTTGCGGTGAACTGGACGTAGCTCTTGCATTGTGGAGTGGGCGGTGGAAGCCCAACTTGACAAGAGGGTGGTGCACACCTGCACGGGGTGTGGCCATCCCCTTGTCCATTACTGGGGGAACGAGACGTAGAAGTCTGAGCAATTTTGGTAAGTGGATTTTTTTTTATTTCCGGAGCTTCTCCCAGGTTGGGCGATTGCCCGCCGCCATACCTGGCAAACTACTCGGAGGATTCTGATTGGCTGCCAATTGGCTGCTAGCATTGCAGCATGTCTGTTGTCCAGAACTGCAAGAGTGCTGCATTGCAAGCGCTGATGCCTTTGGGACACATGGGGACGCACTGATCCGGAGAAGCAGACTTGTCTGTCACTACCGGACCGTATACAGTACCAGTTGATGCTGCTTTGCGACAGGACCCGCACCTGGCATTCAGACTTGTGATGCCTGCCTGGAGCTCGGCTCGATGTGGTGAACTTGAGTTCGCTCCTGCCTGATGCCGTTCTTTCCTGACATCGTACGTGACATCTTATAGTTTGTGTTATTTCAGTTCACCATCAAATTAAACAAGAGACCTGGAACTGCAAGTTTCCTGCCGTCCTTCGCGACTTGGCTGTTGCATTTTTGCAGGTGGCCGCAGACGGCGAGGAGTACTCGCTGGGCTCAGGCCAATGGCGAATTTGTTTAGGGTTTCAGAAGGCTCTTCGAACGGCAAAAATGTCACAGGCCCAAAAGCTAGGAGGTCTAGACTCAAGGAGCCTTGTGCTGCCAGTAACCGGGCAGCTCGCCTTGACTTGAGCAGAGTTCCGCGAAGTTGTGCTCGGGCAGGGTACCCTAAGAATCGCGGACAGGTGCCAGCTGCAGCTTTCGGCTTCCTCCAAGTCTGGGGGCCTCTTGGCTAGTTGGTAGTGCAACAACATGTAGCATGTAATCCTGGACGCTGCGTCAGGACTTGACATGAGATGGAACATAGAGAATAGACCTTTGCAGCTGCCTTTCAATGAGTTTGCTCAGTCGTTAGAGACCGTAGGACTAAGCATCCCGGAGCCACGAAGGAAGCTGAGCATGTTTGTCGACCTTGTAGGAACAACATGTCGTCTAACGCTCCAAAAGAGCTGACGCTGTTTCCGGAGGTGTGCGACATTACCGGATACATCCGCAACGAAGAAGGCGGAGCGGATGCCCGCACATGTTGGGTTGGAATCGTGTCTGCGCAGAACCGTGACCGTGAGCGGTGAATTGCCCGAGAGGTCGCCTATGGCTTCGGCCTGAGCCGCTCCCTCACAGCCGCCCGCATGCAAGCAGCGATCTGGTTCCGGTAGCTTCCAAGAAGCTTCCTGTCTCAGAGACATGGCCAAAGTCCACTCGATGTGCTGTGACTGCAGAGCCGATGAGCGAGGCACTCGCCCGGCAAGCATCGAGGCACGGCTGAGCTGCCATCACTGATACTTCGATGCTTCGCTGTCGTCGTGGCAGGTCAACGGTGAGAAGCTGTCATTGGAACCGCTCGAGTTGCAACACTTAGTGCTCGCCTCAGCACGGCATCTTCAGGGGGCCAACGTGTTCTGCCGCTTCACGATGCCAGGATGCCGTAAACCTTGTGGCTACGGCTCAAGATGTACAGTGCCTTGGGTAGGTTCGCGTGCCGGTGACGTCCCCATCACAACCATGGCCAAATTCCTGCCGGTGGTCGGTGAAGTGATCACGGCAGTCGAGTCGGCTGGAAAGTTGGTTGCTGCTGGTGTCACAGCACCTTTCGACCCGAAAGCCGGCAAGAAACTCGTCGACTCAGCCGGACAGGCCTGGGTCGACTACAAAGACCAGAACCTCCTGGCATGTACCTGTCGTGGGGATGGAAAAGGCATCGTGCAAGGTGTGGATGCGTTTTCGCAGAGCTGTCCGGGGGTTGCCCATGTTCGGGGAGTTGTTCATCTCGCACGGGGTGAGAATCAAGAGGCTTACGACTGCATCGCCAATGGCACCAAAGCGATCGGCGTATGCGCCGCCGCTGTGGTGGCTACGACAGCCACTGGTGGCATGGGCACGGCTGCTGCCCTCGCATGTGTTGGGGGATCAGCCGCCGCTACGCAAGTGGCGCTTGATGGTGTTGACACAGGCATCCGCAGCGGTTATAATGGGGAGTTTCGGGCTGCCGGCACCATCCAGGGTGTGCAGCGGGCTGTGAAGACTGGCGACGCGGTCCACATTGCAGAGGCAGTCATCGCCCCAGCGCAGACAGCGGCCGTTGCCGCAGGTGGTGCTGCGGTGGCGAGGGCAGTCGCCAGCGCAAACATGGCATCGGAACAGAACCTCTCTGGCACAGGCCAGTCGCTGACAAAGCCGCCTGCACAAGCAAATCCAGCCTTGACGCCCGAGAACTTGGCAGCTGTAAGCCAACAGGCACCCAGACCCAGTCCGCTGGTGCCACCGGAGGGGTCTGTAGGAGGATCAGGAGTATCGGTGCCGAACTCAATGGCCGGCTGGCCCAACTCGGCTGCTAGCACTACAAGTTTGGAGAGCCAGGTGTCTCTGGTGAGCGAGGCCTATTCTGCACCAATGCAAGCGCAGCTTATCAGCGAAAACCCGGTGAAGATGCTGAACAGCCGGGGCCAACCCAGTGATGCAGCCCGTCATGCCTTCGACAGGCATATCCATCAGATGAACGCACCTGAAGCACTCGATCTGGTCGGCAACTGGAACTTAGCTCGTGGCATGCGCTTTGTAAATTGGCTTCAGGAGCAGATAGCCTCGGAAGGGAGCGTCATGTACGACGTTCTCTACAGAGGTGAGCCGATGCGAGCCATCTTCAACCCTCGAAACAACGTGGCGGTCTTTGTACGAGTTAACACGAATGGCGCCATGGACCTCGTTGCAGCTTTTCCTTTGAGTCCTGCCCAACAGCGGTATTTGTTGGCACAAAACCCCCGTGTCAACTGATGTGCAGAAGGCCTCGAAGGAAGAGCCAAGCATCTGTTCCTAGTAATAGAGCAGGTAACCTTCCTATGATCCCTCTATAATCCCACTATATTCTCCTGAGGGTTTATCGCTGGTTCCCAAGCATACTGGACAAGTAAGTCTTGAACTTTCGCGCAGTTGTCTCTCGAGCCCTCGCCTGCACAGTCCGAGTTGCGAGAGTCCAAGCCCGGAAGAAAAGGAGCCAGATAAAGTGACGAGTATTCATGGGCACTCTTGATCGATGGCGCTTGCCCCTTTTGATGTTTTGATGGGCCCGCTGCACGTGGCTGCGGACAGTTTAGCTCGGCAAGCTGCTGTTGACCTGCCCCACGACAGTAGAGTACCGTAGACATCTGCTGCCCTCTCCTCACACAGCCATGCCCGGTGGCGGGTATGCAAGCCTCCTTGCGCAGGCCATGCAGGCGACCAGTCAGGCTTCCGAGACGGCAGAGGCCACCTGTTCTGCCTAACCAGCCTCAGAGCCCTGGACCTACATCTTCCGGCCCAAAGACAGCGGTGATGGTATTTCTTCCTGGAGGTGTTATGGCGACTATGACAGGATGCTCCTCGAAGCATACCTCGAGACGAAGTGGGCGGCTGATTTGTCGAGGCGCGTTAACGGGCCGCATCATCCCGATACGCTGCATCTGCAAAGGGCGGCAGAGCTGCAAAAGAGTGCCGGCAACATTCAGGAAGAGCTGCTCAAGATGATTGGTGAACCGGCCGTCCTGTCAGGTGAGGTTGTGACGTACAAGGGGCGCATTCTCCACGAAGATGGCTGTGAGTGCATAGTGTCCTTTCCGGGCAATTATGCGGAAGCCTGAAACGAGTGCACACGAGCACATCAACATCACGTGAGCGTCGCATGCGTCTTCTTGCCCGACAAAGAAGCCGGCTTTGGTTTACATGCAGCTGATCCACCGTCAGTGGTGCAAGAACGTGGAGTTCGCTGTCGCCCGCAACCAGAAGTTCGTCGCTTATTTCTTTAACTTGTTGCTGCAAAGGATTGGCATTGATGTCGAGTTCCGCGACGTGAAAGAGGATTTCATCCATCGCTTTCTGTCCCAGGCTTCTTGATCCACGGATCCTGGCAGCAGATGTCAGCCAATGCTTTTCTGAGCATCTCAAGGAGCTTTTTGACACACAAGGGTGTGTCTTCAGCAGCCGCTTTCACCGGATTTGCCATACATGCGACTGCCAGAGAGCTCACGCTTGGCAAAACAGCCTACTCAGCGAAGTAGTGACGGACCTGTTGCGGGGCGTATAGGTCTTCGGTAAGAAGGGTACGATGGCGAGACTTATTGGAGCCCCAAACCCTGAACCTTTTTGAGGTTCAGGGCACCATGGCCGAGGGTTTTCGGAGGCAGCGCCGGTTCACTTTGAGTGCTAGCAGGGCAGCAGCTGATCTCCTGGTATGAGGATGTTTACCACTGCAAGCATTTTGGGGTTTAGGGTTTAGAGCTTTAGGCCTACAGAGCGGCAAACTACCAGGCGTCCTTGCATGCAAGCCTGCAGCAAAAAAGGGCTTATCAAGGGGTTTTTGGCGTTTAGGAGGGCCCTTTTACGCTTTGCCAAGGACTGTGTCCTCTTTGGCCGTTCTACGATCTTCTACGTCTTCTTGCAGAAGGTGTCGCCAGAGGCCAATGCAAAGACATCAAAGACTTTCCATGCGATAGGAGTGGCCTTAGCAAAGGCCCAACCGTGCAAGTCTTTGCTGCAGGGGCTAAGTGCAAAATTGCGCTCGCCGTACGACATAGACAAGGCTGCCGGCTTCGGAGAGAGAGACTCATACGGACATACTGAGAAGTTGCGCCATGTTGCGCCCATGCAGGAAGAGTGGGAAGGTGGCCTCACCCAGAAGGTCGTCAACAGTATCCTCGGAGAGGTGCACCTCTATCGGCATGGCGGTTCTGAGTCTACTCTGTTCATTGATGAGCACACAGTTTTCCTCAACGGCTGCACATGCATGGACTGTCCAGCAAACCCATGCCAGATGCGCTCAATACAGGCTCGCACCGACGACCCCCTGGAACGAGAGCTTGCTCGGGTCTATTGCAACCAGCTGCAAAGACTCTCGTCTTCATCTGGATTCTTTTTCGATTCTCGCCTTTCCTGCGGAGCAGTGCTGGTGGGAACCTGCTCTCGGGTCGTGCTCACTCGAAGGTCAGAATCGCGACACGCAGGGCACCTTCATGCTCCGGGAGCTTTAGCTGCATGGGAAGTGGGGTGACGAGGTATTACATAAGTCAGACTTTCCTGATCGTGGGGTCGTGAAGAAGGAGCTGCTGGCTAGACGCAGACGTCGTGACTGTGCCTCGAATGACCGCGGAAGATCCCCGCCTGCAAGGCATTCTTGCAGCGAGCAAAGCGAGCGCGACTGAAAGTGGACGAAGCGAACGATCTGACGGCGTGCATCCGCCCAAAGTCAGGACAGCTTCATGGCTTAGGAACTTGAACATTTCCATGAAAATTTCCTGGGTGGCCGGTGAGCGCAGTTCGTGTTTGGCATTTGTATAGCCTCTCCTTTCCAGACTCTCGTAATGCTGGGATGATGCAGGCCTGCACTTCGAGTTGGCTTCACAGGTGCAAGCACTGGTTCTTGATCAGTGAGCGTAAACAGAATCGGTTGCGGAGCAGGCCCCTGTCCTTTCATACGGCTTCCCTACGCACGGTAATTTGCCAGAGTTGAGTGTCGGAGGCTTAGCACGTGAGAAGAGTGCACTGACTCGGGGGGGGGGAGGGTTCAAATTTATGGAAGGTCCGCCTCGTGCAGCGGATTGCGCCACTGCACCGCTTTCGACGTGCTGCCTGGAAGCTGATGGCCGCAACAAAGGGCACGCGAATCAAGGAGCGAATCTTGTGCCGCTCTGGTGCTGAGATTGTGGCGCGATGGGACTGCTAGAAGTCTGTAAAAAAGATGAGGAAGCTGGTGGAAACTCGGGTCACGTCTTAAGCTGTACCTGATTTAGCCGAATCTATCGGATAACTACGACCTCGACGAGAATGTTCGAAAAGCCATGGCCCCACACAGCCGAGATAGACCCAGAACGAGTCAGCACGATCCGGGCGTTGCCTTCTGGATTTGCCCCCCGTCCTTCACTGGAACTTCCGCGCTAGCATCAGTACATCTTACTGAGTCTTTCTGTGTATGTGCCTATTGATATTGTGTGCATGTTTGGATGTTCTGCCCTTTCCGATCAATATGTGTGTGTGTGTGTGCATGTTCAAGCCAGTGAAGCTGTCATCTCGTCGTGTTTACCGCTTACCGGGTACCAGTGGACGGGCCGTTGTCGGCCGGTATCCTGTGAAGAAGGACGCAGCGGGCCTTGCAGACGATCGGTTGCATCTTGCGTACGTTCTTGCCTCTGCCAAGAGGACGCTGTGGAGCGTGTTCTTCCGAGCAGTGCGTCACCGGCGTCCTATGATGGTGCCCCTTCTTGGAGTTGCTTCTCGTACGCGAGCTTGCCAGGTTCTAGGCAGCAACATGCAGCAGCTTTGTTTCGATCAGTTTCGCGATGAAAGCCTGCGCCGTGCTGCTCTTTGCAGGCGAGTTGCTTGCACCTTCAGAGTCGCCAACAAGCCATCGAAGTCTTCGCGAGTCATTGTTTCCACGTCTGGAAGGGTCGCTCTTCTTTGCAACAGCCCGGTGTCGTTTGTTGATGTAGGAAATATGCTCCGAAGAGCGTACTTCCCTCACGGCCAGCCTATGGTTGCACATACCTCTCCCAAAGCCAGCAGATCCCAGAAGCAGTTTCTGCCGTGTCATGCACTGCCATCAGCAGGGAGGCGGGGGGGGGCCCCTGTCGAACGGGAAAGGCTCAGCGTGAGCAGTGTGAGGTACTCCCGAGTTGCTTTCAACTTGGACGTGGACTAAGTTCCTGTCACGCTTGGAGATGATGCACGAGGCTGGCTTGCCATGTATGGGAGGGCAGAAGCCAGTGAGAGAAGGCGCGACACTCGTGTGATGGTTAGTGACTGGGCTGTGAGCAGACAGCATTCAGGGCGCTCGCAGAAGCTCTTGACCTCGCCTGTAGATTTAGCCTCAAGGACGGTCGATGGGTGTTTCCACGCGCAGGGCGTTATGACATTCAGCAGCAGATGCGGCATCTGTTAGGCAGCACCCATGTAAGCAACATAGTTCCTGGCTCGCGAGCAGTGAGGGACTGTTTGCGCGCCGTGGGCCTGCGCAATGGGAAGCTTTGAAGAAGTGCTGCATAACCAGCTGGAAGAACTTCGAGCACGTTTGCTCCAGGCCAGTACTTGCAAACGTTCGTGCGCTCGTGTCGCAGCACGGCGCATCTTGCAGTCCGATCAAGACATCGCACGTTGTCACCTACTTTCCACTCCATCGTGCGACCCAGACAGCAGCCGTAAGCCGAAGCATGTTTCGCTTGAAATGTTCGCCTTTGTCAACGGAAAGGTTGAAGGGGCAGTCAGATGGTTCTCCAGAAACGACCCGCTCCGAAACCCTGAAGCATCCCCTCGTCAATATAGGACGCATCAAATCAACACACGACTGCGACCGATCCGGTAGCTGATGGAGACATGAATCATACTTGAGCCGGAGTTACGTTGCAGTCCATGTGCTGAAGTGCAGTGCGGCCTGAAAGTTGGTTGTCTTCCACATCTGGTGCTACTGGCAGCAGGCACATGCCGAATCATCGGTTGAGCGATTCGAGCGTGAGCGGACACGAACATGGTCCTTCCAGAAGGCCTGCTGGGGCGAGGCTGCGGGTAGATGTCCATACAGGTCCATAGAATAATACTAGCAGCTAGTATGATCAAAGAAATGGTTAACAAAAGGGTAACAACTAAAGTATAGGTGAACAGTTTTCGCCCACATGAGGTGAGTGGAGAGCATGATAGCCCGTGTAAGTCCTGAGTTATTGCCTTCTCATTGCCGAACGCATGAGTCTAGCATTTGCATTGCCCTTCGCTTCGAGACATGGGACAGGTCAATCAGGGCATTTCTTTGGACGCCCTCGACTCTCAACTGATCCTTACAGTGCGAAAACATGTTTGAGGGGACAGGGAGCAGCATGCCGCAAAGCATCGAGCATATTCATACAGCCTTGCTCATCTCAGGATGCGCGTGTCCCAGTGGAGGACCAGTCGGTTGATCTAGAGGACCTGCACTTGCGTGACTGCAGGCTGTTCTCACATTCAAGGCTAGCCAAGCGGCCGGTTCTGCAGAGTCACCGCTTGCACCGCAGTTCGCTGTAACTGTCACGGTGCTCATGCTGCTTGTGTTCATCTCCCATAATAGGAGATGCAGCGCATGCTCACCAGCGTGCGCCCTGCAGAAGAGAAGTGGGCAGATGCCTCGGAGAATCAGCTCACTTTTGCTTTGGAAGTCCACCTTCAATGCTCGAGAGATGCCACCGAGGCGAGCTTCATCAGACGGATGCAGAATCGCAACAGCTATTACATGCCTACTGAGAAGGTCCTGACCCTGCAACTGAGCTGCCAGAACCACCCACGATCGGAAGATGTCGACCGATTTCTTCAATCCGCGGCCTTGACGTGAGGCACAGCGACTGGATCTCCACGGCTCCAGGAAAGCAGCAAGGCTCGCGGATGCCCTGGAAGTCCACCATTTACTATAAGGGGTCTAAATGACTACCGATACTATTTTGAGGGTTCCTTTATAGATATAAAGTAAAAAGTTGTTAAGGCCCCTATATTATAGTACCCTTATAGACCCCTTGAAAGGAACCCTATTCTGATTATTAAGGCCCCGACATTACTCGCCTGCTGGGCCACGACAGCTTCGCTTGGCTTCTCCGTGTCGGGTTCTTGAGGTCGCCGTGCAGCGACTTTGCACCAGAGCGACACAGCCATCGAGGGCGCCCTGGCAGACAGTAATAGTAGTAATAATGGTGCTGATGATAGTAGTAATCATAGTAGTGACAATAGTAGTAAAATAGCTGCAGTTGGAATGTTAAAGTAGTAACAACATTCGTAACAAAAACAAATGATGGTAACTAGAGAGCCGAATGTCCCGAAAGCGTTTGACGACCCGAGTTCGAACAAAGATATTTAAGAGAAGATCGAATACAGATCTTCATGCATGTCGCGTGTACACACACACACACACACACATATATATATATATATATATATACAACAACAACGGCAACAGCAACAGCAACAGCAGCAGCAACAACAACCACACCGCCACCACCAAGAACAATAGCAACAAAGACGACGACCACGACCACGAGCACAACGACAAAGATAACGATTACGACAACAACAACAACAATACCAACAACAACAACACCTTCGCCGCCACCACCACCACCACCACCACCACCACCACAACCGCCACCACCACCACCAAGAACGGCGACGCCAACAAGACTAACAACAACCACGACGGATACGACAACAACAGTGACGACGCCGTTAATGACGACGACGCCGATGACGACGACGACGACGACGACGACGACCACAACAACAAAAACAACAACCACAAGAACAGTAACAACAACAACAACAACAACAACAACAACAACAACAACAACAACAACAACAACAACAACAACAACAACAACAACAACAACAACAACAACAACAACAACAACAACAACAACAACAACAACAACAACAACAACAACAACAACAACAACAACAACAACAACAACAACAACAACCACAACAAACAACAACAACAACAACAACAACAACAACAACAACAACAACAACAACAACAACAACAACAACAACAACAACAACAACAACAACAACAACAATAACAATAACAATAACAATAACAATAACAATAACAATAACAATAACAATAACAATAACAATAACAACAACAAGAAGAAGCAAACAACAACCACCACGACGACGACGACGACGACGACAACGATAACGATAACGAGACGACGACAACGACGACGACGACCACCTCCGACAACAACAACAGCAACAACAACAGCATCAACGACGACTACAACCACAACAACCACACTCACCACGACAACGACAACAATAAAGACAACGACAACGACCTCTATCACTACCGGACCAAACCCCGGTTCTCGAGCCAAGAATTCGGGTTTGCCTCTGGCGATTCCCACACACCTTTCGCCGAACCACCGACGGAGTCCGAACTTCGCGGAACTAGAGGTGCGACCGGGCGCAACTTCGTAATTTACGAGGTCGCACCCGTTCGCACCCGAATCCCAAACACCGTTCCCCGAACTACCGACGGATTCCGGCGGAACTGGAGGTGCGACGGGTGCAACCTCGTAATTTACGAGGCCGCACCCGTTCGCACCCGAATCCCAAACACCGTTCCCCGAACTACCGACGGATTCCGGACTTCGCGGCAAAGGGTGCAACCAGGTGCGACCTCGTAATTTACTTGGTCGCACCCGTTCGCGCGCCAACGACAACAGCAGCAGCAACAACAATAACCACCACAACGAGTACGACAACCACAACGACAAGAGCAACCACAACGATAACGACGACAACGACAACGACAACGACAACAACAACAACGACCTCAACGACAGCCACAGCAACAACAACAACGGCCACGATCGCGAGCACAATGACAACGACAACGACAGCGATAACGACGACGACGACGACGACGACAACAGCATCAATAATAGCGACAGCGACGACCACGACCACGAGGCCAACGACAACGACAACGATAACGATGACGACCACGACGACGACAACACCACCACCACCGCCACCACCATCACCAACAAGAATAACAACGACGACGACAACGGCAATGACAACGATGACGGCAACACGCAACAACCACACCAATGACGACGACCACGACCACGACCACGACCACGACCACGACAACGACCACGACCACGACCACGACGACGACAACGACGACGACAGCGACGACGACCACAACAACAACAACAACAACGACAACAACAACGACCACAACCACAACAACCACAACGACAACGACAGCGACCTCTACCACTCTCCACATAACTCGACGCCGACGCTTTCGGGAATAACAATAATAATAACAACAAAAAGGGATTATCAGAGAAGGCTCTTTACGTTTGATCCCCCGGTTGCTTTATGCGAAAAGAGCAGGTCAGCCGCTGTTCAAAGGAGCCGCAGAGGATATGTCGCACATGCTGAAGCGAGGCTGGGTCTCTGCAGTGTGAGATGCCTCTGAGAGTCAAGATGACAGGCGTCAGTGTAGTTGCAAGAAAGGGAGCCGCCCTGTGAGCACCAGCGTCAGGTTGCTCGAAGCTTATCCTCCTGCCACAAAGCAATATCCGGCTCACAATGTCCATCCTCGGGCTGATCGCCATCGTTTGGGATGTCGTGCGGCCCTTGGCCCTCACATGTTTCCACTGCAGCAGGTAGCCTAGAATTCTAGAGCAAGCCCTGCACGAGGTGCAGATATTTCATGCTTCTGGCACAACTAAGAGAAAAAACCGAGGTCTTTATTCCAATCCAGGCATTCGATGATTTGCCTGTCGCCTTCGATGACTTCCTAATGCAAATGACCTACGCTGCATCAGGGCTGCATTGGGTTCTCGAGATTTCACGAGAAACTCTACGTTCTGAGCTTTTGACGGCTGGTGTGAGGTGTTCGCCTATTGGTTTCTCGACTTTCTTCTCCAGTTCTTCTCTGCTCCGGAAACCGGCAACCTGGCAGCAAGGTCCTCAATAGTTCAAGACTACGCTACTGTGTGATCTTGTCGCTTGTTGTGTTGTGCTACGCCAAAGCGGGACTGGCAGCAGTGGCAATTGTAACAGTAGTGGTGGTGGTAGTAGTAGTAGTAGAAGAAGAAGTCGTGGTTGTAGTTATCGTTCGTCGTAGTAGTGCCAGCATTGAATCGGCGGCACTTTCAATGGTGCAAATGCTGATGCAGCATCTGCTGCGGATGATGTTGATCCTTGTTGGGATGTGGTAAACTTGACGACAAGAATAGTGCATAAGTGAGCCGGTTTGCGCAAACAGAAAGACAATGCCATGCAGCACAAGCCAACATGCGCACGATTGTAGCAGCAGTGCAGGTCAGGGAGTTCGCGCAGAGACGCGACTCCACATTGTAGCCATACGCTACCTGAAGAGCTGGTTCGTCATCGACTCTTGGCTTATTCAGTTTCCGGGGAACAACTACGGGATGTTTGCCGAGTCGCAATCAGGGCCAGTTGTCATGATGATCACCGGCGGTGAAGCTCGATTTCTGTGCCTTGCTTGCCAAGGATGCAACAATTCTAGGCGGGCCCAGCAGTGTGCTGCAACTGCCATATCAACATTCGGTTACGTCCATCCGCGGACTATATACAAAAATCTCTGCCACTCTTGCATGTGAAGCAGGTCTGGACATAGGCGCCTCGGTGGCACAGCCAAGGGTCACCTAGCACCCCCAGAGATGAGTCATGTCGTTCTGATTTGGCATTATTGGTACGGTTCTCTATCGTTCAATCCACGAAGTCCACGCGATTGCTGCAGCGTTTGCCGATTCCAGGGCCACAGCTTCTCATGCCAAGGACTCTTCATTGCGGAAGCCAACTTGAAATCAGACTCTGCAACAATGTCGACCATACAGTCGGTTCGCCTTCTTCGGGTGCTACGTCTCCTCAGGTGGGCAGAGTTTTCCAGGATCTGAATGACATCGTGCGATGTATGGTGCGATATGGTGCGCATTGGTACGCATATCGGTACGGAAGCAGCTTAGTGATACGATGGCCTTCTTACTCATACAGCGTCTTGGAGTGATCGACGTTCCGTCCCCTCTCCTTTGACACCGACTAGGGAAAACTGTTTCTGGGCTCAGTTCTCTCCCTGCAGGTTTGCGCGTCACCCGGCTGAACCGGGGAGTCCTTCGAGTTGCAACTTCTGCGTTTGTGCCTTTACCTCTTCCTCATAGCTGGCTGCACCCAATGCAGCAAAGCTACGAGGAGGAAGGCATGTCTCGACTGAAGCGCACTCTGTTTCTGCTTCTGCCGGTGTACAGGGGACTCCTCGTGCGTAATGAGGCACCATACGCCAGGGACGGTGACAAGCAAAAGTAACAAAGGCAACACTTCGTAGTAGTAGGGCAGTGTTTGAAGCACAGCGTCACTGAGCCAGAACTGTCGGTGCAAAGGTCCTTAGCTGCGAGAAAGTCGACATCAGACTTTGCTAAACCCAGAGGCGTTCGTGTGGGGATTCTATGTGAGAACCAACAAATCTCAGGACTGATCCGGATCAGTCGAGTCCAGAAGTCCCTGCTGTCGATCGTGACGCGTTTCACATCGTCATTCGGCAGCAGGTGGTGACTAGTAAGAGAGTTTATTTAGGTGGTTAGTGAGTCGCTAGTACCGAACAGCTCGGGATGATGTCTGCAAGCATGGGTATTGCTGTCATCATCGGCATCATGATCGTGATCTAGGTCTTCGCCACCCCAATAAATAAACTGCCCTGATGGTGGCCGTGAAATTACGTACCACGACCCCACCAGTGTGCCCCATGCCATGTTCTTTGAACTGTGCGACCCATGGTGCCGTGCGGGAGCAGCTTGGACACATCGGACCCTCACACGCTGGCCAACCAACCACACAGCGGGAAGGGCGGTCAATGTGCGGCTAGCAGGTTTGCAGGTCGACATCGGTTGTATCGTGGCTGATTGATTTGGCACCTGTCGATGTGGTTGATGGATTGGCGGAGTGGTCGGAGCCCCCAAGACAGTGACGTTACGAAGCGGCCGTCGGTTGGAATGGCGTTAGTTCGAGCGTGGGAAGGGTTTGCCGTGGGCTCATGGGAGTTGGTCTTGCCCCGATTGTGGCGTGACGCGGGGTCATGAACTTGGGAGGCGGGGCAAACTAAGCTGCTTCACTTGCCTCCGCGCCGGTCCACAGCTGGGCAGGCAACAGCTATACCTATGTTCTATGTGCAGCAATAGCAGGAGAAAAGAAAAAGCTCCATGCAGCCTCGGCTGCCTTGACGAGGGTCGAAACGGTAACAACAGTTTTTCTTGTAGTCTCCTCTGGTCTGCCGGGGGCTGGCACAGGCTCGAGGGGTGGAGCATGGAATTTCAGCTGTTGTTTTTTTGCAGTATGTTGCAGTCGAAGGCTGATCAGACCGGGAGTACCAGGAGCAAGTCTAAGTGTTTGCAGGGCCCGTTCCATTATTTCGTCTTCAGCTAAGGGTGTATTTCTGGATGGCAATGCAGATGATGAAGGGCATCGTGGTCATCCTTGTCATCAACCACTACTTGGCGAATCTTTCCCTCATGGCTTTGCGTTTTGGAAGTGATTGATTTGTGTATCCAGTGCGTGAGGCCTTGCAGCACATGCAGAGTTATGGCGATTAATAGTAGAGGAAGCTTATCTGAGTGCTAGGAAAGCTCAGGATTGGCTGGCTAGTGCTGGGCTGCTCGGCTTGCTGGGTGCTTGAAAATGGCAACATAGAGTTTCGGACAAGGATGCTTACCAGTAATGCGACAGTCTCTGCCTGAAACAATCTGCCAGAATCTACAGGCAAGTACTTCTGGTACTCGTCGACTTGGGTGGACAACGCTGATATCCGCGACAGAGAATTTTCAGCTCAGCTGCTTGTCCTGAAAATCCATGCTGGAGCATCGCGAGAACCGACCGCATTTTCAAGCGCCACAGAGGGTAATGAGGAAGAGGAGGGAAGAGGTGCAGCATTCCGTTGTCCAGGCCCTGCACCCAGCACTTCCGTGGATACTCGAGAAGTCCTAAGTGTCAGTCCCGAATTGCTACCCTGTGCAAGAAAATAGTCCGAGCACATCTGATAACACATCCTACATAGCCAGACCTGCCTCCCGAGCTTATTGTTCAAGCATCTGCTGCAGACCAATGACGATTGCTGAACAGGTATGTAACTTCCTTCCATTGGTCTCTGGCCCAGTTTCTGCCATCGACCACGGACACCGGCAGCTGCTCCTTACCATGCTTGGTTGAGATTTTCCTTTGCGAAATTGCGCAAGCTTGGCATGCCTGGCAGGACATTGCTCCGACCAACGGCCTGGAGCGCCTTTATGCTGTGCTGGCACCTTGATACGCGTGTGCTGCTTTTCTCCCATCCAGAAGCCCTATGGCGACGGGTTGCTCTCTTCCAGGGCTGCTGTCCCAACCGAGCTGTTGTCCTAGCGCGGCTGATGCGAAGGGCTTTCCAACGTCATAGCTTCCATAGCATCGGCTCATTAGCCAGGATTCGGATAACTTCAGCCGCCTGAATCCCTCTCGGATCTCGCATCCTTCCTGACCAGCCTGACCATATCTCCGTCACTTCTCTTTCAGTTGTGATTGTCTAGTCTAGTTGGGGCAGCCCAAAGCAGCTAGGCAGGTGGCCAAATTAGCCCAGAGACTGCAGCTTCCGAGGCAGTCCTCCTCGCGTGTCTTGGTCGATCTTAGCAAAAGCAGCGGCTGCCCGCAGAGCATAGCCGCATAGCCGTTGCAAAGTGCTGATCTCAGGTTTGGAGTGTCAGATCCTCAGACACCACGCATCAGATGAACCAAGCCAAGCCAAGCACGGACCAGACGGAAGAAGTCTCGCAAGAGAAAGCCTGCTCAGGATTTCTTCCTTCATCACTGGAGTTACCAACACCGCATCTTGGTGGCAACGAGGGCAACGCTAACATACGTGCACACACCACCAGCGCACAACTGCAAACGATGTGCACTGCATGCTGGGAGTCTGCATGCATTGTCCGCCAAGGTAAACGCATTGCGTGCTGTGCGTGTGAGCACCGTAACGCAGGCTGCGGTGCTGTTGGGGTGGACAGACTTGAAATGTTGGAGACGGAAGAGCTTGCCGCTGTGTTTGAGCTTGATTCTGTCAAGCTGCCCTCGAGTTGTACATTTTTACTTGAGCTTGTTTTGTGACAGTTCAGTAGAGTCAGCACGAATATCGAACTGCAGCGCTGCCCAGCTGACATGCTGCCATTCTGTGCGTGTTTGCTGACTGGTACCTAAACTGCACACCCCCCCCCGCTTTGCAGTACAGAGTACAGAGTATAGATGCATTGCAGGAGGCGAAGCTTCGACAGTTCTTCAGCGACAGCCGCTTGACGATGGTCTCTGTGTGTCACACTAATTCGTCGGCGCACTGCCCAAGATTCGATGCTGATGGCAGTCCAGCCGAGGACGGTTGCCAGCGTCGCTGCTCAAAAACTGCCTAACGGCCTTCCGTGAGAAAGCCGACAAGACGCAGTACATCAGCGAAGAGGACTCCGTGTCTTGCCTCCCCGCCGCCTAGATGACGTTCGCAACGCAAATCGACGACTTAGTTCCTGCATCTACGCTGGACCGCTGTTGCTGCAGCCTTTCCAGGACGTTTCCATTCTGCAATCTTCTCCGGAGAGGCTGCCGAACTCGACAGTCATGTGGTTGATTTGCAGCTGTGCCTTAGTGACCTACTTTGAGGCTGAAAGCTCAGCTGCACGAGGAGCGCTTGTCATCGATGCAAACACTAGAGTCACTTGCAGCGTGCAGTCTTACTATAGATCTTAGTTGCGCTACCAGTGATGCTGCAATGCTCTACAGCGTATCTTTTCGGAAGGAGATGTTCAAAGGTGTGCTGCTCTCCCGACTTTGGATGCAGTTCGCAGTTCGCTACGACAACACCGGATTGATGACCAACCTCTGCGACCTGGTGGCAACACTGCATGCATGCACGCCTGCATTCATGACCCACCCTCCACTTATCCAGCCAGCCAGCCATCCATCGATCCGTCCACCGCCCCCGCAGATGCATACGCATGTCGTACGTGTGAATGTACCTGCCTGCCTGCCTACCTACCTGCCTACTACCCTACCTACCCACCCACCGCACATTACTATACACACGTATGTACGTACGCAATCCGTGCGAACATCACACATACACATACGCATACACAGCATACATTACATTACCCTGCAGTACATGTTGCAACCTTACCTCACGCCTAACACTGCATAAAACATTAGATATACATTCATCATTCACACATATGCTTACATGCGGACATTCATGCATGCACGCATGCGTGCATGATGGCATCTGCTTCCCTTTGCACTGCATTAGCTTACAATACATGACAGATCACAACATTGATCTACATTAGACGACATGACATCACATGGCACTACATTCTTCGCATGCATCGTACATATCCACACACACACACAGACATGCACATGGACTCCGGCTTGTGCACTGCCCACCTCGTGGAGAACGATAAAGATCGCAGCTGGCAGACCCAGCGTTTGATCCGTAAACCCTGAGAGGCCACCTGGCTTTATGCGAGAAATGTACAAGGAGATCTGAGGATGTGTTCCTACCTGGCACCGTCACTCACCTTACAAGTGCATGCTTTGCTTTCTGTCGCGCTGCTTCGCCGCATTTGGCCTTGTCTGGCATGAAATCGGAGCTCAGGACTGCACTGGGGCGATCATCCTGAACCATGGCAGCATGACCTATTCGACCGGTGAGTTGGTGATGCGACTTGGCGAGAAAGTTTTGTCATCAGTTTCACGCCAGTCTATACAAGCTGACAATTCGCCGGCAAGCTCGCGGATCCGCCGCTGCAGTTGCCATCGGACGCCCGCAGCGTGCGCGGAGCAAGCTCCGTGTTCCGTGTTTTCTTTCGCCTGAGCCTTGAGGATGCCTTCATCCTCGGTGGCCACAGCGTCCTCCGCTTCATCCAGCGGAAGTGGAAGTGAGAGGGCCCGCAGGCGCGCGGCAGCGCAACCTGGCTCTGATACTTATGGCTTTGGTGGCAGGGCAAGAGGATTCGGACTTCAGGGTTGTAGTCCATTTGAGGTTTGGGTGACACAATGAGTGGGCGAACAGTTGGCTTCAGGCTCCCACAACTCACCCACAAGCTATGTACGACTACCTTATATTATATAAGGCCTCCTGAACCGCACCCCCCTTACCTTCGATCAGACGGAACCCGAGAGGCATTTAAGAAGTCCCGGATAGTCTTCGGCTACATGCTCCCACTATATTTTGCACTGTACAGTTCCCTTCCGCATGTGTGTTGGTGGTGCGTGCCCGACAGTTCCGACAAATCAGTGGATTCGCCGGGCTTCGACCCACATTACATGAAGGCCGGCAATGCCGACCACGTGCTGGTGGACAGCAAACCATGCGAGAGTTACGGGTCTGATTCGTCCTGGCCAACCCAGCCCGGGCTGGTCCTCATGGCATCGCCTACTCCCGGCCTTGCTGCCATTGGCAGGGGGAGGAGAATTGTAGGCTGCATGCCAGGTTGCGTGGGTTGCGCGGAGGAGCCGCACGCCTATGTGCGTGCAAGAGGATGCTGAGCTTGCTGACTGCATTCCGTTTTTTCACGGCTAAACTGACATGTATTGGTCGCTGGCAGCAGGGACCGGCCTGTCTGCGTTTTGGGGTGAGTTTCGTCGGGGACTGTGGGCTATGACTATGGACTATGGGTGTAGTTGGGGCTGGGGGCCTCACGCTGCATGCGGAGGAAGTGGGCTGCAGTCCACCGCTGTGGCTGTGGTTTGCTTCCGAGCCCGCGAGAATGATCAGTTACGGAGGAGTTTCCCGAAGGAAGTAGGTAGACCGCCGTTCCCCTCGCTGTGGCTGTGCTGGCTTACTGCTAAGCGGGGTTTGAGTGGGTTGATTCCTTTCACGTGGCTTGGGATGTGGTCTTTGGAACAAATTCGGACGAGATGGCGTCCTCGTCCAGGAAGGTGTGTAAAGGTCCTAGGTAGGATGAAGCGATTTGTCAGTCGTAAATAGGAGCAGGTAATGTCAAAAACCGCCAAGTTTCAGAATCGACATTGTCGTCGAACGAATTATGCAGACGACTCAGTCGCCTTGGCCAATAGAATAGAAAGCAACTCTAGGTTCCGAGCCAGTTTGAGAGCAACACCTGGTGAAGCATTGGCAAGGCAATTCATGGCGATGGAAATCAGCCGCTTGACCGCAGGGCCTGTCAGCACCACTGCACCACTGCCTCCCACCCGCTGAGTGTTCCCCAACGGCGGTACACGTGTTTCACCACGTTTACCTGCATTCCTTTGTGGTACCGGTCGCTCAGAATTTAGGAACCTTCGCTTAAAGAAGCTGAAGTGAGTCCGTTACTGTTAAAATTCGACTTCCCCTGTGAGTGTACTCTGCATGATGAGTTTCGGGCCGACGGTCAACGGTAGCATAAACGATGAGATTTGCGGTGTCGTGCATGCATGCCGTCGCTCCATACAGGCGAAGGAACCTGGCTTTGTGAAATCGCATTGTGGACACAATGGTGGCATCGGGGGCAGCTTGCTGCTCAAGGCAGGCTACCTACTGTTCCTTCCTTGGTGGGCAGTCCGAGCTTCGCTTACATGGAGTTCCGGTGAGCAAAACCAGTAGCGAGCCACTGCCATTCATTGGGAAGCTGGTTTGCGAATGTGCAGGTGCAGCGCTTTACACCTATGTGGACGTCGCAAAGTTTATGCGGCTGGTGATCGAGACCGGCGGCTACTCTTACATGTGTCATGGCTCCGTAGTCTGACAGTCGAAGGCAAGCTTGACTTGAAACATAGGCACTTGGCTCAGAAAGGTACCTGCGCACAGTTGGCATTCTCATGACCGCGGCCATGGAGAATCTGATGAATGATGATGAGGAGAACGACCTCTCCATCAACGAGGTCGAGCCTACATGTAGGCTTCAGGTTTGGGTCGTTTTGCTGTACATTGCTGCACCCTCTCTGTTCACATATCATGCAGACCCATTCTCATGGATGCAGTAGGATCCAGGACTGATCCATGCCACCTTTGTTAATGGGTGTGTGTGAAAGCGTGTGTTGTGTGTATGTGTGTGTATGTGTGCTTCCTACCGATACACAATGTAATGTGTGGCAATCTTAGAGTTGGGGAGGCGGTTCGAAAAGCGATTGCATACGGCGGGTATGATCATGCAGTTGTACTTATCTAGGTATCTATCTATCTATCTACTAAACGCATGCCTGCCAATCAAGTTCATTCATGTCCACATACATAAATATGTACATACATATATATATATATATATATATACACACATATATATATGTATATGAACATGTATTTTCCTATACGCTTACACTCCACTCGCGGTTTTACGTCTGTAGACATACAGACACAATATCTATTTTCATGAGCTTGCCAGAACTGAACATGATCTGGTCCAGGAGCGGCAGCAAGAGATTTGTGAGCGGGCGTTTCACTTCCAGCAGTTGGCACGTGTCTCGCTTGCCGCAGTAATGCGCGGAGCACGTGACAGCGATGAAGAATCGTAGGAAAGCAGTTGAGATCTTCCAGAGCATATGAAGCTGCTGTTCCGGAAACTTCATGGTGACTGGCCCGATCGCAGGAATCGCTGCCGATAGTACATGTCGTGACCAGAGACCCGGGCGCAGTTTGTGTCTCACCGCTTGGTCAGTGTGGCCTTCGCACCGGTTCAGGTGCGCACTGTCGCCACTCTTTGGCCGGATATTGCCATATATTGCCCATATGTCCAGTTAAGCAAAGCCAAAACTACGCTTGTTCATGGACACCTGGTGCTGGCGCCTTCCGTTCTGATAATGCTCTGCATTCGGAGTGGATTTGGAGCTTGCCGCATACGTCCGATGCTTGCCTTTTAAGCAGCGGGCCCTGCTTCGCATCCAAATCCATGCTCTTGCATTCCACTCGCTCTTTGTGGGCTTGGTGGTTTTTTCTTCAAACACAATTCGAGTGAAAAGCTCCGCGCCTTGTCGGTGTGGAGCCACGGACGAGGAATGCTCTCGCATTGGCGAGTGCGCTGAAATTAGCCACCAGTCCAGGAACTGCACATAAATAAACGGTTACGGCAAAACGATCAGGAGGTCTGGAACCCAAGGGTTGCTATCATGGTAGCAGTGCAAGCTGAGACTGGCAGGCATCAACCTTGGCTTGTTGAGTTTGATGCCAGATGAGTACACAAGCCTGTTTGGCTAAAGAAAGCCCAGGCAACTCGAGGTTGCCTCAACTCGCAGGGAAGCACTGGCTAGCATCCATGGCATTCTAGTGCCATTTTCGATCACGCCATGATGCGCCTGTGCGATAAGTCTCCGAGGGGGAGATCGACCCTGCAGCCGCATGCTGCTGGTAGACGGAAGTGCCGGAGAGTCCACAAACAGGCATGTGAGTAGTCTCATTGCTGATAAACATAGCCTGGCAGGTATTGGTAAAGCTTAAAGAGATGGGATGAAATAATTGCTAGTTACCACGAATACGGGCGAGAGTAGTACCCGAATTAGACGAGTAACCGAAGTAGCTGTTATGATTCAGTTGGTCCTCCCGACACCAAGACGCACGGACAGTTTTACACATAGTCATGTTTGCCGTTATAACTCGCATCGGTGCTAGTGCCTGCTCGCCAGGTTTTGATAGGGCCAGTTACGGCAGTTTAGTCCCACGTGCCAATATTATTGTTGGCTGTGTCCAGTAGCAGTAGTAGCAGTAGTAGCAGTAGTTGCAGTAGTAGCAGTAGCAGTAGCAGTAACAGTAGCAGCAGCAGCAGTAGCAGTAGCAGCAGTAGTAGTTGTAGCAGTAGCAGTAGCAGTAGCAGTAGCAGTAGCAGTAGCATTAACAGTAGCAGCAGCAGCAGCAGCAGGAGTAGTAGTAGTAGTAGTAGTAGTAGTAGTAGTAGTAGTAGTAGTAGTAGTAGTAGTCGTAGTAGATGTAGTATATAGTAGTAGTAGTAGTAGTAGTAGTAGTAGTAGTAGTAGTAGTAGTAGTAGTAGTAGTACTAGTACTAGTACTAGTACTAGTACTAGTACTAGTACTAGTAGTAGTAGTAGTAGTAGTAGTAGTAGTAGTAGTAGTAGTAGTAGTAGTAGTAGTAGTAGTAGTAGAAGTAGAAGTAGTAGTAGTAGTATTATTATTATTATTAGTAGTAGTAGTAGTGCATCAGTCGTAGTCGGAGTCGGAGTCGTACAGTAGCGGTTGCAGCAGTAGCAGTAGATCCATGCGAGTCTGACTGGGAATAGCTGCAACAAGCCCAGCAGCTTCGATAAACGCGTCAGACGCACGTCTCTCCGGGCCTTCAGAACCCGGCGGATGGTCGCTGAAGCCTGCAGAGCAGCGTGGCAATCTGCGGCTGTGAACGTACCCCAGCCTAAGTACCTGGCTCTCTCCTTGTCAGTCTCAATATAGTCTATGGAGAAGATACTTCATGCCCTTGATGTTGTCCGATGGCGATCCTTGCATGGGCAGGTGCTGTCTCGGATACGAGATGCGAAGAAAGACTTGGACTTACAGATGCAGGTGTACGAACAAACATGTGTATCACTGCGACGAGGGCATCCCTTCCGAGCAAGCTTCGTACTCGCGTCTTGCATCATAGAACCATACTGCCGTGGTCGCTAGATGATACCTCGGCCGGCACTACAAACTCTAAAAGTTGTCGTTCCAGTACCTTAGCCAGGAGCACTTAACGTGGGACCGTGAGAGCCGGGTTCAAGTTGGTGCATCCGTTGACCGCCACCTCCTGCAATGTTCGGAGCTGTGGTGGCATGCAGTTGTAATCAAAATGGCTCCAGGAAGTGTGAGACCACTCCAACGCAGCCTTTCTTGTTTGTACAGGCAGAAGACATGAACATCCCGACCTGGAGCCAGCACATTCTCACCAAAAGCTGTGTTCGAACAGGTCTGTTCCAGATTCCTATTCGAGCCACAGACACGCGTTTTTTTTTGAGCAAAACTGCTGTCGTTGGTCGATTATCCTCCGATTACACGACGCGGCTGCCTGGCGTGACTTTCAAGATAATTTGCCGAGGGCTGAAGCTTGACAGATTGAGTGTGTGTCCGGGAGGTGCGCCAAACTTGGCTGGCTGATCCCGACGGCTTCATGCTGGATCCAGCGAAGCTTTGCGAAGATTGTTGGTGGCCTTTCTAGAGTCTGCTAGAAAAGACCGCAAGGGGGGGTACTGCAGCTCGGCAAGAGGCGGTGCATCCGCAGCCCCATGCCCGTGCAGCAGTGTTTGAGATTACTTGTTCAGGACTAGTTTACTGGTACGCAAAGCATGCTCCGCAAATGAAGTTCCTGACGTGAGCTAGGACGTGTAGGTAGTCAGTGCAGCGCATGGGGTCAACAACTTCAGTCACTCTGTTCTGAGGAAAGATCCCTGGGCTGAATATGGCCCCTCGGAGATCCACCAGCTGGAGCAGGTGCGATCATGGTCAGTCGTGACGTTGTCAAGCACCGCAAACTCGTGCCTCTGCCAGGATCATGCCACTCGAATTCAGGACAAGTTCCCTGACGTGGGGAAGGGCGAGCAGCGCAACCCGAAGCCCTGCTCGTTGGTGATGCTGTATTCGGGCAGGAGCTGCGAGAGCGAGCTCACCACCGTGAAGATGAGTTTCGAGAGGCATCATCGCCGCTGCATGGACTGGTAGCACTTCCGTTCCTAGAGTCGCCTTTCGAAGGGGCAGTTCTTCCACTCGCGAAGCTGGAGAGCTGGACAGGCAGTTACCGCCAAGGAGGCTGCACAAGCCGAGCTTCGACGATGCAAAGAGGAGAGACGGGCACCGGAGCATGGAAAATCGACCACACTCGAGACGCTCGAGCAAGCCCTGAGCCTGTCAGTAGCCAAGCTGTTTCCACTCCAGTCGCGTCTGCCGGCAGGAGCTGGAGGCCGCCCGGATCGAGCTGACCCGGCAGAGGCTCCCAAGCGAGTACGCTCAGCGATTTCTGCACACTCTGTGACGAAGGTGATGTAACTGTGCTCGGTCCCTGGTCAGGAGTGAAGACATGCCCAAGCCTGCCGTGGAGGCCACTGCTGGCGAGAAGCAGCCGCGATGCATGTTGTTGAGACTGTTGACATGCTGTGGCAGTTACAGCGCGTTAGGGGTAACAAGTACTGACAGCACTGTAATTGCCAGTATCTGTTACTGATCGTCGGATCGCATGTTGCGAAGAGGTTTTGTGACAGCTTGTCCAGCGCGACCACTTTAAACGCATCAATGTCTGGGATCCGAAACCTCCAGCGAAGAACGACATGGGTATGTCGCGGGGTGGCATTGAGCTCTAGTGGAAAAGGTTTGTGTCATAGGTCAGGCATTGAATTTAGATGTCAGTGCACTTCAATTGCCATTTGTGCAACTTGACGCAGGCCAAAGCTGACTGCCTCCGGCGTTCGTTGATGGCCCCTGGAGGTGATTCTGTGCCGTGTTTCCAAAGCTATGCTGGACGAAGTCTCGACGTTTGCAGGCTTGCGCAAGGCTCTGGATGCCACGGATGCGGAAGGCCGTGTTTCGCGGTGCTTGGAGTTGGCCCGCGCCAACAAGGCCTGGAGATTCAGCAACCGCCGATTATGAACGGAGAGACAGACACACAGACAGACAGATAGACAGCCAGCCAGCCAGCCAGCCAGACACAAGCAAGGGGAGCAAGCAAGCAAGCAAGAGAGGCCAGGGGATTCGTCCCCAAACCCCTCAGCAAGCAAGCAAGCAAGCAAGCAGCCCGAGCAAGCCGCCAACAGAGGGCGTGCCCCCACCCCCAAGCATAAGCCCTTCGACAGAGAGAGAGTGAGAGCAGAGATTCGTTTCTCGATTTGTGGCCGTCCTTCAGAGCAGGGGCAAGAGAGAGAGAGAGAGAGAGAGAGTAGTGAGAGATAGAAGCGCGCTCAGCGTGCACTAGAGTTGAGGGGAAGGTCTAAAGCGGAAAGGCCCGGTTCTGATAGTTTGTGACAGTTGAAACACTGAAACGGAGACAGCTGCCCTGACGGGTTTCTGGTGGCGGCTGCCAGTACTAGCAGTTCACTCGGCACATTAGTCAGACGTGAGTTTAGGTTCGCACCGCAGCAGCGAAAAGTCAACTAGATCTGAGCACATGAAACTTTGCATGTCTCCACCCCTCCGACTTCCATCCCACTGGCCGACATCGCGGCCGCTCACATGGCCTGAAATGCGCCCCGAAGCCGGAGTGGAGGACTGAGGTCAAGCAGAGATCGGCTGTGCTGCCTTTTACAAGAACTGGATGTGGGGGAGTTCCGGAAAACACAGTAGCATGTCAGGAGCTCTGGAGAGACTTCCTTTCCTGGGCAGAAGCCAGCGGTGCTCAGGGCTTGGAGCAAGTGATGCTCGGCAGCATGACATACCTCTATGAGCCCTCTAGGCCTCCAGGCTCTATCGTCTACTGGAAACTGGAAAGCCCTTCGGAGCGTTTACTTCCATGCGGATCAGCTTGCACTCTCGAAGTGCTGTACCAGGAGGATCGCTTTCGTGGCGAAGGACGATGGCCCAGTGCGTGGGCTCGTCGCTACCCAAGAGGTGCCGAGATCACTTGGACACTTGAGCGAGTAATTAAGATGCAAGAAAATAGGGGTGCTGTAGCAGCTAAAGTCGCGGCAGTGCAACCTGGTGCGGGCAGCAATGTGAAGGTTACCTCTCCCATCATCTTGCCGAGATGCCTGCTGCTCACGGCTTCTTCGGAGTCGGAGTTAGGGATAAAGCTGGCCTTGGAGAAGAAGAGGACCGCGACGGGATGACTCCTGCATGGAGAATTTGAACACCGGATGTGAATCTCAACTTTCTTTTTAATTCTGCCACTTGACAAAAACGTAGAAGCAGCTAAGATCAAAATTGTTGTTATCATACAGTAGATATATATACATACATATTGTTTTTACATGACAGCAGTGTTTTTCCCCAGCTGGGCGAAGGATGCTCAGCGGTTTGGGGAGCTTCTGGTCTCCTTGGATCCGGATTTTGCCAGACGAGGCCGGCACAGCACTCTGAAGAGAGACTTCCTTAATTGTTAGATCTTGTTAGTATCATATTTATTTTTATTAAGCTGATCAAGAATTCTTACATGTATATATATATATATATATACACATACATATGATGTATACGTATAGAATGCCAAGTGCGCATTACGACGCGCTATCCTGCTCTCCATCCTTGTCACCTCGTGCTCACGAGGCAGAATTGCAGCAGCACCACATAGCCTATGCAACCGGGCAGCAACGTCGCGTCGTGCTCCCCTCATGGGGTATGGCCTGCAAACCTTGAGTTGTGTTGGTGCTCGGTCTCAAGCAACCACAGACTAGTCATGCTTCTTTCAATCCTTGCTTCATTTCAGGGCCTCCAAGGATCCCTCATTCTCGATTTCAGCTAGTGCGCAGGTCTCGAAGAACAGAGGGTCCCTTGCTAAGGCGTCCGAGGAGCTCCTGGAGGCTTTCCGAGAGCTGCCCGTGGTGGCAAAAATCCGAGCCTGGCATCAAAGCCTCGCCGAAAACTGGAAGAAAGAGGCTGAGAATTGGCAGAAAAAGGCCGAAGAGCCGCTCGGGCCGCTCGTTCAGAGGCGTTCATGAAGCTTGCGGAGGAGAATGTTACCCTCCCGTCCAAAATGCTATACTCAGGATCGGGCTCACCGCCCTGACTTTCGACGACTTCTTCTGGGCTTGCACCGTCGTAAAGACGCGCGTGTACTTGCCTCCTCCCACGCACTCTTGCCTAAATTTGATTCAGCTCCGATTCTTGATACCTTTCCGTTGGGCTGAAACCGTTTTTGCGTTCATGTTGCGTGTCGTCCCCGGGGCCTGCGGGGCATCACGACCAGAGGTACTGCTTCATGCCGTTCGCTGACATGATGAACACAGAACCTGAACCCAACATGGACGTGTATGACAGTGGCCCGGATGTTTAGTATGCGTTTGGTTCACCACGGCTTTTGAAGTATGACGAGAAGCGCTGTGCTCGCCTTGACGGAGCAAAGCTGTCGGTTGCGGTTCGGAGCAATAGGATAGTCGGATAGCCTTCGATTGCAGAGGCATCGATCCGGCATGCCAGTCCAATCGTAATCGTACTTAGATGATGCGGCCGTTGCAGCTTTTGACCTCAGCTCAAGGTTTGGAAGTTGATGCCCCCGACGTCACGGAGTACTACGGGATCCTCCTTCGAGATGGCTGCCGTGTTAGTGCGGGGCAGGAACTGACGCAGGTGCAAGCACGCGCAACGAATTACTTAAATACTGCCTTGCAGCCTTGCATGCGGTCGAAGTTCCCGAGATGAAGATCGAATCGACAGGCTTATCGACCTGTCGACAACTCCGAGCGATTGTTCAGGCCCGGGGGCTGCCAAGGTTTCGCACGCGGTTCCCGTGTGAATTGTCGTTTTCGTGCCTTGTGACCTGTTATGACCATGCTGACTATGTCGACTGTTTTTGACTCATCACTTTGATCCTGCTTGCTCGTTCGCGCTCCTGGATCCCTGGGTGACATGCCCCAACCGGACCTTTGCGAGGGGCGGCTTCCTGCTGAAGGACAACCCGGTGGCGGTTCCGCGGCTAGCCATAAGCGTACCACCGTCGGAGGTCCCTCCAGGCCGATTGCCACGAGGGAGAGGAGTTGCAACATGAGCCGGAACATCGGCGATGATGGAGATGATAGCTAGACTGATGATGACGACGGTGATGATGAAGGGCACCATCATTTGATTATAGTGTTGACGATGACGATGATGATGGTGACAGTGAGAGTCGCATGGCAAAGCGCGTCGAACATGATGCACGATAGGGATTGCACGGGAGAATAGTGGTACACCATGAAAGGCAATTTCCGAAGTATCCTCGATGATTTTGTGGCCCCCCAAGGCCAAGTTTTGGAATCTTGTGAAGTGGAGCAAGTGACGGGGTACCTCATTGAACGTTTGTGTAAAAGCAGCGATTCAACCAAGCGTCTGGCCTGGAACACCTCCTTTGCAGAAACATGCAACGCTCCAGGCAAAGGACTTGAAGATGCAGCCGCCACATCAGAACCACATGTACGCATGGTACATGCAAATCTGTTCACAAGGCTTCTTCTTTTCATGCGCCAGATAGACCCGACACAACCGACATGTGCCTCGTTTTGAAATTCACCGGACACAGCTATAACTGGGGGTCGGCCCCTTAGAACCTATTGGCATGCCCAAGCGAAACTCCTAAAGCTCTTGCAACAGCTTTCCACATTTTCATGCTGTTGCCTTGGTGATCAAACTTGCGCACTGACTTATTTCGACAATGCTGGATAGTCACTGGAAATTCTTCCGCATGATGAAAGCACAAGAAGGAGCCAAGCGAAGATAAGGCTCCCTCCCAGGACCAAAGCTCATGATGATGACGAAAATGATGGATGATGCTGGTGTACTGTCGCGAGGATGGGTAATGGTGATGGTACTCTTTACAGATGGTGAAGTGATGGTGATACGTGTGGATGACACCTGATAGTGCTTTTGATACCACATGATGATGCCGCCGTCAACCATTGACTTAATGAGGATGTCTATGATCACCGAAGACCCGTTCTAACAGTCGAAGTCGAGGCAGAGATGATGTCGACCTGCTGGATGCTCCTGCATACTGGAGACCTGAATAGCTCCTTGTGCCCGTTCTCTGCCCTCTTCCCCTTTCGTAGGCTCGCCTCTGGAGCTCTCGCTTCGACGCCTGGTCGCTGAACATGCAGCCGCCCCAGAACAGGCCAGGGCAGACGACGCGTCGTTTTCGTTGTCATTGATGTTGGTTTTGTGGTTGTTGCTCCATTCTCTGCTAGTTCAAAAATGATTCTTGGACACGAGTCTACACAGTGCAGGGGGTGTAGAAGTGCTCTGCCGGCAAGCGGTCTTTCACCATTTCCTGGCAAAAAAGTTTCTGCTACCCCCTGGACTTTGAAGCTGTCGATCCTGACAGGTCGGCGTGACCGAGGAATGTTGCCAGGCAGATGGAGCTGGCAAGATGTGAGCTGCCGTTCCGAAGTTTACAGATGCCACGGCCAGGCAGAAGAAGGACACTCGGTCAGCCTGAGAAATTCAAGTGCCCGCCGCAGCAGATCGTCTTCCGGAGAATCGAAGAGTGTCACCTATACCTTCGGGCATCTTCGGGCACCACCGCGTTGCACCTTCGTCACTGTGGCGGCTTTGAAGCAGATCCGAGCTCTCTGAGTAGAAGGGGTCGCCGAGGCCAAGCCGTGCCTTCGCCGGGTCGCAAGGCTTAGACGCCTTCGAACCTGGCAGAAGAGGAGCTTTCCATACCGACAATAGCAGTAGCAGATGCCAGAATCGCACCGATAGAAGCACCAGCTGGAAAGACATCAGCACGACGGTAATCAGACGTTTTTCCAGTCGTGCATGTTGCGTGGCACGGGATGAGCCATCCGCCAGAAATTCAAGCAGCATGGCCAGCTTATCCAGCCAATACTCTGACCGAGTTCATGCTTCTGCACCGAAGTGCAAAGTAGCACAGCCGGCGCTCCCTTCCAGATTGCGAAAAGATCTCGTCTCTTCCTGCTGCCAATGATTGCTTGCCGATTCTGTAGCCTACATCGAGTGGAGCCTATACAAGTACAACCTTTCACAAATTGTGCTACAGAGTTGTGGAATGTAGTTCCAACGGAAGAAATGCAGGGCGGGACCCTCCTATCGGCAGGTCCTGGGGTTGTCCACAGAAGTTCCCCTGTGGTGTGCCTGAGTAGCTAGCCGACCTAGGCCTAGCCAAACTGTGAGAGTGGCAAACAGTTGCAAGAAACTCCCCCAACTTCCCGAATCCGAGCCCCCGGGAATGCGACTAGGTGAGTACGGTATAGGTTTACCAAGGAGAACTTGTTCAGAAAAGAGCAGACCTGTGAGCTTCGGCAGGCTTTGCTGGAGAGGCTCTGCCTTGAACAGCGCGAAAGCCTCCTGGACCCAAGCGAGTCCCGGAGCTGAGATACTTCCGTCACCTGGGATTCGGGCATCTCTCTCTCTCTCTCTCTCTCTCTCTCCTTCTCTCTCTCTGTCTCTGTCTCGTCTCTGTCTCTGTCTCTGTCTCTGTCTCTGTCTCTGTCTCTGTCTTCTGTCTGTCTGTCTGTCTGTCTCTCTGTCTCTCTCTCTCTCTCTCTCTCTCTCTCTCTCTCTCTCTCTTCTCTCTCTCTCTCTCTCTCTCTCTCTCTCTCTCTCTCTCTCTCTCTCTCTCTCTCTCTCTCTCTCTCCGTCAATATATATATATATGTATATATTTATGTACACATTACACATACATGCCTATGCATATATCTATCTATCTATCTATCTATCTATCTATCTCTATATATATATATATATATGTGGTCATGGTGGTGCGATTCACATCGTTCTTGGGCATGCCAGGCATGCATGTGTACACGCGTACACATGCGCATATCGTGACAGAAAAGACCATAGCTTTAGACTATATTGCATCACGTCGCACACCCAAACACTACAGTACAGTTGGTTACATGTTTACAGTGGTTTTTCAGTACATGTCAACACACTTGCAAACATGTGAGTGTCATGTACACTGCATTTGGTTTACAAGCACCGTCGCATTACAATTGCAGTCGGTCCGAATGCACTCCTGCATTGTACATATGTGATGTACATGACATGACATGGCATCACAGAGTACACTGCAACACATCACTTTATATGCATGCATACAAACAGACAGACATACTCACAGGGTACATGACAGTGAACAACAGTGCCAGAGACAGGGCTCTCTTCCAAAGATCTGTGTTGTCCGAAGGTGCAGGCGAGCACGGATGGAGTCCGGCCGCAGTTGTCGTACTAGCAAGCCGAGCACAAAAACACATCTCTGCAAGACGGGGCTTGCTGCATAGTCCTTTCGCTGCATGAACATATGAAAGCAGCAGTTTTCGAAGCTGTTTCTGACACCATGCCTCCCAAAGCAATAGGCGGCACGAAGACCTGAGTACAGCCTTAAAGCCTCGCCTGATTCATCGAGTGCGAGTGACAAAGAAAAGTTGAACCACCAGGCGCTCATGGCGGCTTGTGCTAGGACGGTAATGCAGATGCAGAATGCGAGCTTTGAGTGCCCGCATTCCATGGCAGACATTGCGACCGCTGTTGCGAAGACATGGCTCTTTGGCGGACCACCGGACTCTTCGAGAATTTGAGGACTTGCGGCATCACCTGGTAAGCCAGGGAGCAGACCTGGATCCAGAACTGCTGGTCGTGGGAGAGTCGTCCGATGGTTTTGGCGTATTTGCCGGCCGAGCAATCCAGAAGGGTGAGGTGATTGCTTCAGTTCCCCGCCGACTTGTTTTGGAGGTCCCCTTCGCCGTTCCGCCCCGACCCAAAGGGCCAGTGGAAGCGCAGCCTTTGGCAGCCGCTGCTGGAGGTCATGGCCAGTGGTACGATGTCATGGGCTTTCCGGAGGGCCGCGCCGCAGTCACGAAAGCTGCCGAACGCCTGATCGAGGAGTACCAAGCAGGTGGGAGTCCTAAGAGCTTCTCTGCTATTGCACACGGTCAAACACAAGAAAGAGAGAGCGAGGGAGCCTGACCCCTGTGAAGTGAAGTGAAGGAAACGTTCGGGTGGGCTTGAAGACCAGAAGATTTGAACGCCGCGCATGCCCAGGAGGGAGAGAGAGAGAGAGAGAGAGAGAAAGAGAGATCCGGCAGGTCATAAATCTCCATTCAAGGCCTACTGTGCAGCTCTGCCGCCCCCTTCGGGTCTGCCTCCGCCACTGCATCCCCTGAGGCGCAGGTGGCCTTTGGAGCTGTTAAGGGCCAGCCCCATGGTGGAACGTCTTTACAGGGAAGCCAGCCGTTTGAACTCAGAATGCCTGGATGCTTTGGCCAAAATTCCTGATTGCAGCCTTGAGTTGCGGTGCTGGGCATTGGCTGCAGTTATCACGCGAAACTTTGCCCTCAACGGATCAACCGCAGGTGTGACATCTCTAGGGCTGCTTCCATTCATCGACCTCTTCAACCACCAAAGCTCTGAAGGAGGCAGAATGACGTGGACGTGCTCCTATCAAGAGAGACACGGCTGTGTGGTCATGGTGGCAGATCGTGGCATTGCCAAAGGCGAAGAGCTCACCTTTGTTTACGCTGCGGCGCCGGATGCAGCCTTGCTCATCCAGTATGGCATTCCTCCAGCATGCTCGAACTTCCACAACGTAGCCGGGATTCAGATCCATTCCGATGTGCTGGGAGCAGATGTTCGCAATGCGGCGCGTGACTGGGGCTGGACCGACTTGACGAAGCCGCTGCTCTTCACCCTTCCGGAAGCTTGGCAGAGCGATGCAGAGCGGACTGCGGCTTAGCCCTCCATTGAAGAGCAGCAGAGCAGCCAGAAGCCGAGGGCGATTTGGGACGTGATGCACCCCTTCGGCAATTAGCTGAACTTGTGGAATCTCGGCCTTGCAAGCTGATGAGTTCTTTCTAGATTCTAGTCCTTGGGGTAATGCAGCGGCCTTTCCGACAATGTCCTGTAGCAAACGTAGTACTTAGAATTTTTTGACACATCAATGGGGAGGCTCAACCCGACCTGGACCGCCTACGCGTGCCTCCGCCAAAGCAGCGGACAAGACGGCGCGGTCACAGAAAGAGGCAGGAGCTTCGGGTTGGTTGCGGGATGTGCAGGCGGTGTTACGGTTGGCTTGGCTGCTGTGGATGTGCCGCCAGGGATCCAGCTCCCGACAACGCTGACAGGGCCACACTGGCCGTACTGGTAGCCTGGCTGGAAGCCGCTCTCCACCCGGGACCATCGCGATGGCAAAGGCCTCGCCCTGTGTCATACTGCCTTGCCTCGTCGAAGTCTCTGTCACAGCTAATCTCCTTCCACAAACATGCCGAGAGAGGACAGGAAGCAAACAAATGGCTGGTTTACGTGTCCTTGCTTTAAAAGGAACGCATCGCGTAGATCATTGAGTTCGTTTGCCAGCATGTGTTATACTACCACAATCTACTCTAATACTAGATTATACTTTAAGGTACCAACCACGACAACTCACCTCAAGAAGTGACACAATCCAAGAGTGCTCTCTGACCCTGAGAGCTGTGGAAATTTGCAGGTCTGCTCCCTCCGAGGACCGGTAGCTGCCTTTGCCTTTTGCGTTGACTTCCGTACAACACCCAACACAGATATTACCTGATATTCAACGATGAACTTCTGTATGCAGTTATGTTACCATACACTACAAATATACATGTGATATTATATGCTACTGGCAGAAGAAACCCAGGTCTTTAAGTTTTGAGAAGGTGATAGAAGGTGGCAATCCACAGGTGAGGTTGAAACCTGGCAGGACTTCATGCAAAGGCTTCTGTTTGGCCCGGCCAACTCACAGATTGTCTCCGTTCAACTTAGCTGACTAGCTGATTAGCAGCCACAGTCCGAGCCCTGAGGCGATTGGCAGCTGCCACCAGAAGCCGAAGTACCTCTCCCCAAATCTCTAGACTTTAGATAGAGACGTCATGATGCAGTCGACGAGTTCAGTGCACAGGACAGCGACCTTTTTGCAGCTGTTGCCGTCATCGCTGAGCGGGAAGCCGAGATACTGGACATGCTTCTCGCAGTTTGCGGGTCAGATTATGGTCAAGCCAGGTTCTTCACACCATGTATCCGATTTAGCATGGGGCTGTAGAGCTGTAGCTTTCCTGGTCAGTTTAAGTCTCTGCTCAAGACCCGAGTTTCGGCTTCGGAGCTGTCGCTTGAAAGGAGGACTGCCTGCTGGAGACAAAACGGCGGCTGCTGGCTGCCGAGCTGCTGGAAAGCTCTGAGGCGGCCAGGCCCAGGCAAAGTTTAAAGTAGCTTGGACCTCTCCCAAAGCAGCGCCAAAGAAGCGCAGAGTTCCGGATCGGCAACAGCAAAAGGGTGTCACTGCCCAGGGACGGCGAGGAGTGTTCGTGTCAGACCACGGCACGAGGTTTGCGAGGCAGGGAACACGTGCAACTGAGGCTTCACAGTGACCTGGGAGGGGAGATCAGAGCAAAGCGGGTGTGATGTGTAGATTCAGTGTAGATGGTTCGAGGCGGAGCATGCACTAAGGCGACATTGAAGAGTCTTTACTCTCTTCTGCACATCACACCTGCTGCAAGTCACTTTAGTGGGGTCATGCTGCTGACATCAACGTGCCGTAGGCCGTTCAGCAGACCACATGTCCTCTGCGAAAATGGAAGAAAAGAGCATGGAGCACGACTTTTGCCACTCTTTCGAACGATACCTGACGTCAATGTCGTCCTGCAGGGTTTGCCGCAAAGCCACGGGCCTCTCTTGGAAATTGCAACAGCCGACGGGGAAGACAGTCGTGGCTTGAGCTTTCCCAGGGAATGGCAGTTCTGCCAAACTTTGGCATTGCAGCGCGAAGTGCCGGCAGTCGACAGGCCATTTTTGAAGACACTGGGGGCTGTTCTTGCGACTCGTCGACTCGTACGGTGGATTCGTCCTGTCATGGCTTGCGCGAAGGCGGAGGAGAGTTTCCGGAGAGCTTCGCTACGATTCCTGGAGCAATGGTCTTAGCTGCACGTGACGCAGCGGAACAGTGCCGCCACCACAGAGAAGAGCAGATGTTGGTTGTAGGCCATTGTAGGCATGGACCCACTATACGCAACAGTAGTCAGTAGTCGAATTTTCACGGTAGTGATCAATGCTTAATCGATGGGGCGACAACGACTGCAGAACCGTAGTATCTGCTACTGGTCATGTCCAGATAAAGCGGCAGCAGTAGCAGCAGGAGAAGCAGTAGCAGAAGTAATAGTAGAGTTCGAAGAAGTTGTGGTAGCAGCAGCAGTATTGGTAGTGGTAGCAGAGCAGTAGCGGTGGCGGTGGCAGTGGCAGCTGCAGTGGCGGTGGCAGTGGCAGTAGCAGTGGCAGTGGCAGTAGTAGTAGTACCTGCTACTGCTACTAGTTCTACTACTACTACTACTACTACTACTACTACTACTACTACTACTACTACTACTACTACTACTACTACTACTACTACTTCTACTACTACTACTGCTGCTACTACTACTACTACTACTACTACTATTAACCACTACGGCTACTACCTGCTACTGCCACTGCTGCTGCTACTACTACTACTACTACTACTACTACTACTACTACTACTACTGCTACTACTACTACTACTACTACTACTACTACTACTTCTAAGAGTAACGATACTAATTAACAAAAATAGTTACTACGACGACGACTACTACTTCCACGACCACTACCACTACCACTGCTACCTTGTTGCTTAGTTCTGTCAACAGTTACACTGAGCTTGGTGGGGTGACAAAACGTCATGCAGCGCCGCTGCCGTGCTACAAAGCGTGCCCTGGCTTCGAACTCTGCTGCGTGTTGAGGTGAAGTGACGACTACCACTTCTGCTACTATGTTTTACCACGACCACGAATGCGACTTCAGGCAACATGACAAGCTCCAGAGTGGGGGGGAAGACTGGTGCAACGACCCCCAAAACTCACGGGCAACGTAGAGCCTCTCTACGGATGCGACTACTACGACTAAGACTACGACTACGCTACCGCGACGACTACGACGACGACTACTGCTACTTCTCCTACTAATTTTATTACTACGAACGCCAGTCAGTTGTTTCTGGCCACTTTCACAGTGGTGAGTTTGGTGTCGCTCGCAGCAGTAACGCCACAGGAACTAAACAAGTTATATCCGTACGTCAGGAATAGGAACTGGGTGAATTTGTAAAATCCTCCGTCATTGTGAGCAACCCAGGTCGGGGACGTCCGTTGTATCCGCTGAAGCGTTGCTGGCATGCGCCATTTCCGTCAGCGCATTTGCAAACACTGCGGACACGCTTGCCTTGGTAATGTGCATCCGACTAGCCAAAAACGTTCACTGTACATGCACCCAAGGCTGCACGGTTGATTAGCCCAGCTGTGGTGGATACGCGATGACAGGGAGTGGGAGCCTTGTTCATCACCTTCAACATCAACGCTGCCGCAGCCCGAGCTGTTTTGGAACGCTCGGCTGCCTACCAATGAACGTCTATACTTGTCAGCGTGCGGAGCAGCCTGCCATAGCCTGCCATTCGAGCCAGTGACCGGCAATACAGCAGATTTGTCTCTCCGATGCGATGTGAACAGCCGCAAAATTGAAACCCTCATGAGTGCTCGAAACAAATCAGACATCAGCTGTACACGTTGACCTTGCAGGCATTCCTGGCTGACGGCTCGGCTCTTGGTGGATTAGGCATTTCCTGCTGCACAGGGGAATGCCGCGGTACAGTTCCTGGAGGCCACATGAATGTAACAGTGACGTGACAAGGTGCAGACGCCATTAGAGTATCCTTTGGAGGTGGACAAGGCCTTCTGCACGCGTGTTAAGTGCTTGTTTACTGCTGCTTATTGCTGTCTTGGACCCTGTATGTTGAGCACTGCAAGACTGCCATCAGGTCAACACTGTTGGGCTTTACTCTTGCGCTCTGGCTGCTTTTACAAACTCCTGTGTGAGGCTGGCCTGCCCAAGTTTGTTTGCACGGCCGTGTTTGCCTTTCCTGTATGCAGCTGTCCTGACAGCTTGCGGTTACGCGCATATTCAAAGACTGCCCCGATTCACGCCACTCAAGCCACTCGAATGACGCTTGTAGTTCTGCACAGGTGCAGCTAGAATAGCTAGAAAGATGAGTGCTGACGTAATGTCGACGCCTGCACGTATGTTGGCCAGTTCACAGCGTCTAGTACAGGAGAGGTTTGAGCCTGCACCAGCGCGCCGGGCACGGCGATGGCGGCAGCAAAGCTGCTGCTGGACGAAGCCAGTGCGGCTCGAGAAATGCTGCTCAGGCATGTGCTGCATGTGCTTCATTCAAGCCTTCTGACCGTGATCGTGAGTAAGGCTGTGCAATAAGAGTCCATGGGTGCCAGCCAGAAGGTCTTTACAGAAGTCCTGTCATACATGCGCCATTTGCACCTGCACCCGGGTGAGTGGATCCAGTTCATCAGTTCAGTCTTGAACCCCCACGGCGTTGGTCCTGACGTTCCCACGAGGCTCGCAGATGAGGAGCACGAACGCTGGCTGGAATCTGTCATGGAGCGGTTCAGCGCTATCGAGCGAAGCATCAAGGACTTGAGTTGCTAAGGTCGACAGCTTGCAGAAGCAAAGAAGTTTGTACCTTCAGCAAGAGCCTATCTTGTGTGTACAACCGTGCCCCGAGCCCAATCACTCGGTAAATCTCCGTCGCCACACGATTTGAGCAGCTTTGCTGCCTGCTTTCAGGACTGGGACGCGCAGTTCACGGTCAAGCATGAGGAGGTGCACGAAAAGGCGGGGACTATTCATGAAGTACACACTGCAGGCCCACCAGCTCACTAGCTCTCGGCTTACTTCGAGCTTCATAGCATGACATCACTGCAGCACTGCATGATAACGAGACGCCGAGACGACAGGCAGGCTTGGCTTCGCCGATGCTGATCGTCAGCTCCGTTCGGCCAACGCAACCTCCGCGGCTTGCAGAGCAGGTTCTCCAGCTCCCTGCAGTGACGACCGTAGGACCTCAAGGCATTCTTGAGCGCTTCCGTCTTTCAGGTGGATCCTGTGCCACCGTCGCCAGCAATGAAGATTGCCTGCAATGTGCCCCCCGTCTTGCATTAACAGGGTTCTGCCTGCAATGGATTTCATCCTGGAGACTTTGTCTTGTTCACCAACACCGACACCTCGACTGCTCACTCCCGGTACGAAGGGGATACGCGATGACGGAGAAAGATGCACGGGCAAGATCAACACGAAGACGAGGGCGACGACAGCGACGACGACTGCCAAGTCTGTTGTTACGCAACCACAGCGACAAAATGCTACCACTACTCTTCGTCATCTTCGCTATCTCCATCATCGTCACCACCGTTCTTTCACGAGAAAAGCTGCACTGACCAACGCCAACACCATCGCTGCTATTGCTGACGCTGCTGTTGACGCACGCGTGACACCTTTCACCAGCATCATCACGTCATTGCTATCATCGCCATCTGCATCGTTGTCAGGATGGTCATCATCTGCATGCCTTGTCGTTTCCCTTGGGCGGTGTATGGCGCAGCAGGGCGGCCCGCATGCTTGACCTCGTTTCACTAGCCAGAAGTTATATCTTTGACCACGGTGCCATGACCAGCATCAGAATCACGCCCGGCTTTGAAAAGAGACCACATGCTTAAATGTTCGTCTCTGAACGAGTCGATTTTGCAGCTTCAGGCTTTGGCGTGTAGGCTTTGGGCACCCACGCGTGCTTACCGAACTGAAGTTTCGGCCGGGGAGTCGGATGCCTGTTTGACCGAAAAATCATAGCGTTCACTGGGACGTTGCGACTCCTAGGACTGTCGACGAAAGCCAGAAGAGTGACTGTGACTCATCGCCGCGGTCCCCTTTCACTGGCATACAGGCCCGGGTATATACCGTCCTTGACCTTCCAAGTTTGAAGGTCCTCAACCTTTCTATAAGAAGTTATGAGTAGATTCTCCAGAGCATCCATGTCATGCTGCGCGTGTGGAATCTGCGTACATACTTCTTTTGTTGAAGGCGCCACGATGTATTGACACATGGTTCAAGTTTTCCTTGCGTCCGTGTTCTCACTCCTGTCCATGGCAACTTTGCCCTGCAATACTACATTAGAGTCAGGCATGTCGACCGCCGCTAGACCATACACGGCGGCAGACGCATGCACATTTCGGCATGCGAACATCAGATATACCTCTATAACTCTGTCAGTCCACACGACGATAGATCCTCTTGGTATTCCGCTGGCCAGCAAGGCACCAATGAACATGCATTGATATTGCACGCCGCCTGCATGCACACGTTTTGCCAGATCCGTTGGCTTGTCCAAATATCTGTCTCTCTTGACTGTGACATTGCAATTATTTTGGTGATGATGCTCCGATTTTGCCTTGGTCTTGCCTGTGATGCGTTGTCCCCACGTGTGTCTCTTGCTGTGCATTGCAGACTCTTTGCAGGACCCAGGCGCTCTGCAGCGCATGATCAGCCCTTCTTCCCAAACGATGGCCGCACGGGCATCAGTGATGGGAAGGCCACCAACGGAGGAAGAGAGCTGCTTGAGCAGGTTGGCCATGTGGCTCCGTTTCAACCTCGACTATTGCACAGGTTTTGTGCTGGCCATAAACTTGATTTTCATGTGCGTGGAATTGGAGTTGCAGGGAAGAGCCGCCGGGCACCTCGCGAGCGAGAGCTCGTTATCACTACTCAGTTTGCAGGAATTAAGCGTCCCTCTCCGTAGTGTTGATATTGCCTTCGACACCGTCTTTCTCATCGAGTTCTTGCTGCGGATGGGGCTGGAAGGATGGGCACTTTTTCGTAAATTCTCGGGCTGGTACGACGTATCTTTGGTGGCAGTGGGCATCGCAGACATGGCTTTATTTGCCGCTGCCGGCGCAGATGCAGAAGTGGCAGCAGTACATGTACTCCGAGCAGCGAACACACTTCGTGCGATCCGTTTGCTGCGCATCTTCCGACTTTTCCAAGGCTGCTCGGCGCGGGCAACTTGTTAATCAGTCTCTTTCCTTGTCCTGGCCCGCAGCAGGGACTAGACCTCCTCTCACGGAAGACATGCCTTCGATGCAAAGTCCGGACTGCTAGACGTGAACACCGTGCTCCCTGCAGAAGCAGTTTAAGGGTGGGTTTGGGTGGCGAGAAAGGAGTATGCGTAGATGCATGGCGCCACGATTCGTGAGAATTTCTTGGTTTGATGTGTTAGGGGTACCCAGCAGTTCGAAGAGGCTGGGATGCAAGAGGGAGGAGTATGCGTAGCGTCGCCAGAGCACGTTGCAATTGATGGTCTTACGCAGTCATAAGACGAACAATAGCGTCGGTTACTTCGCCGTCTGCAAGGTGGGAGGTGGTCGTCGTCGTAGCAGGCAGCAGGCGCGATCGTCGTGGTCGTTGGCAGTGATTCGTAGCAGTAGCGAGTAGTTTAGTAGTAGCAGCAGTAGGGGCAGTCCCGGTGGTAGTAGCAGTAGCAGTAGTAGCAGTAGTAGCAGTAGTATAAGTAGTAGCAGTAGTAGTAGTAGCAGTAGTATAAGTAGTAGTAGTAGTAGTAGTAGTAGTAGTAGTAGTAGTAGTAGTAGTAGTAGTAGTAGTAGTAGTAGTAGTAGTAGTAGTAGTAGTAGTAGTAGTAGTAGTAGTAGTACTAGTAGTACTAGTAGTAGTGGTAGTAGTGGTAGTAGTAGTAGCAGCAGGAGCAGCGGTAGTAGTGGTGGTAGTAGTAGATAGTAGCAGGGCTTCCCCTCATATGCGACGCCAAGACCTCTCGTTTTTTGGACTTCGTGTTGTCGGAAATGCTGTGTTTTACAGCACTTTTTTCGCGGTTGCTGAAATTTTATTGGAAAGCAGAGGGTTGCTTCCTGTTCTTAAACCTTATTTACGGCCACTTGTCTTTCTGATTGTCTTGATTTTTTGGTGCTTTTTGAGGTCTCTATTTTCGTACCCAGAAACTAGCGATCAGAATGAAGGTTTTTGGTCTGATTTTGTGGTCTGGATGTTCATCAAAATCGTTTGAGAAGGGAGCATCCATGGCCAAAGGAAAAAATGACGTCCATGGTCCAGTGCATTTGAGAAGGGAGCATCCATGGCCAAAGGAAAAAATGACGTCCATGGTCCAGTGCATTTGAGAAGAGAGCATCCATGGCCAAAACCTGATGACGTCCATGGTCTAGTGCATCGGAGAAGAGAACATCCGTGGCCAAAACCTAATGACGTCCATGGTCGGATGACAGGAAAAAAGGAAACACACAGAAACACCGATCCGTTCAAAATGATTCGTCTTTACATCGCACCGGGCGGGGCCGGTACTTTCGATTGCTCTTCAAGAGCTTACCGTCAGAGAGTACTTGCATAAGGAGTCGAGGCACAAGAACCGCAGATGCAGTTTCCACTTTGGCAGGGTGCTCGGTCAAGGACATTGTGTGCCAAGCATCGCCGTGGTCACCCTTACAAATTATCAGCATAGTAGTAGTAGCAGCAGTAGCAGCAGTAGTAGTAGTAGTAGTAGTAGTAGTAGCAGAAGTAGTAGTTGTTGTAGTAGAAGCAGCAGCAGCAGTAGCAGTAGCATTAGGAGTAGAGGCAGTAGTTGTAGCAGAAGTAGTAGTAGTAGTAGTAGTAGTAGTAGTAGTAGTAGTAGTAGTAGTAGTAGTAGTAGTAGTAGTAGTAGTAGTAGTAGTGTAGTAGTAGTTCTTATTATTATTCTTAGCAGCAGTAGTAGTAGTAGTAGTAGGAGGAGGAGGAGGAGGAGGAGGAGGAGGAGGAGGAGGAGCAGCGGCATGAGAAGGAGGACCAGAAGAGGAAGTAGCAGTAGTAGTAGCGGCAGCGGCACTGGCATCGGCGATGTTCTATTTGAGATTGTCGATACTCCGTATTCTTGGCCGAAGCGACTCACTGCCTTCAGCTCCACTTGTCAAACCAAGCTACATACCCCCCAGCCCCCACTGCCCAGCACGAGCGATCTCGCAGGGAGCATAGCCACAGTGTTGAATCCGCCTGCCAATTGGATTCCTAGTCAAGGTTTGCGCCTGCTCATCCGGGCGTGTCATGCCTTTCTGCCAACTCTTGGATGGCTGCTCGGCTGTTGCAAATGCACCCGTCGTGCGTGAGCAGTTCTAGGATCAACCGATCCTCGGTGTGGCAGTTTTGGAGTGCTGTGTCGTGGGAACGAACTATCAGGGCTAGTGGGCGGATCCCCATCTTGCTTTTGCATCCAATCAGGTCAATGGTTTTACTGGGATTGTGCATGGTGATGAGCGGCCTCCTTGTCGGTTCACTGCTGCAGATCTTCTTATGGAATGACATGCTAGCGCTCGAGCACAAGATTTGGATCTTTGATCGGTATGGCACCGCGCATCGATCCATCTACACTTTGTTCGAAACTTAGCGGATACATAGATCAGTTTGGACACTTGGGCGTGAGTGTTCTTGTGCGAGCTGATGTAGCAGACAGGGTGGTGCCGGAAATCTTGCATCCAAGGAAATTACCTTTGCTGGCAACCTGGGGTGAATTCGATCAGGGTTCGTTTCAGTTTTCTTGCAGCCGCCCAATCAAAGTCGGTGACACCCTGCCAAGCTCGTTCTGGAGCTACAAATGTGGTCAGTATACAAACACAACATGGTAACAGTCAAGTCGACCTTGTGATCTGATCTGTTCGCCCACTTTTTCAGCCTCGCAGCGCTAAGCGACTGCTACTGTTTCCGCTGCTAAGATTGCGGCTACTGCCGCTGCTGCCACTGCTATGTCGACGACGACGACGATGATTACTCCTACTTCTGCTCCCTGTGTTGTTACTACTACGAGTACGACCACTACCGCTACCACTACCACTAGTCCTACTACTACTACTACCACTACTACTACTACTACTACTACTACTACCACTACTACCATTACCACTACCACTACTACTACTACTACTACTACTACTACTACTACTACTACTACTACTACTACCACTACTACCATTACCACTACCACTACCACTACCACTACTACTACTACTACTACTACTACTACTACTACTACTACTACTACTACTACTACTACTACTACTACTACTACTACTACTACTACTACTACTACTACTACTACTACTACTACTACTACTACTACTACTACTACTACTACTACGCTTTTGAACTGCGCTCCCCTGCCCACTGCCTCACTCGCTTGACGCCGCTCTGCCATGGACAAACCGTCTCTGCTGCATTGCCTGTCGCTCCACTTGCCAGAGGATCCTGCAGGATTTGTGGAGGATGGGATCTTTAGATCCCAAATCCCACCAGTGGTATGACCATGGTTGACCCTGACTGACTTCGACACTGGATAGCTGACCCAAGACTTGCACCCGAAAACGCTATCCAGCACTTACCACGCCTCACTGCGGTCGACTACGACGAGCGGCCCTGGTCTGAAGTTGCCGCAGGATTTTGCTAACAAATCCGGTGCTGACTCAGCGATGGTGCACTGGGGTAGCAAGACAGATCTCTTGGACGACGCCGTACTACAGCCGGTATTGGTCGATATTGGACGAGCGGCCCTGGTCTGAAGTTGCCGCTGGATCTTGCTAACAAACCTGGCGCCGACTCAGTGATGGTGCACTGGGATAGCAAGACAGAACTCTTGACCTGCCTCTACCACGTGACCTTGACCCGGACATTGAGCACGTATACAGTATACAGACTCATGACAAGCCGTCGGAATGAGCGGCCCCTAGTGACCCGCTCCAGCACACACGCATGACAAACACGCGATGAACGACCCTGGTCTGAAGTCGCCGTCGAACCTGGGTACAAGCAGGGAAGTCAGAGTCGGCCCCCGCCAGGACTCCTGACCCTAACCCCACCGGAGTGTCGGGAAGAAGGCTGGGTAATGAAACTGTCTGATGCTTCACACATGCTGGATGTCTTCAACACGAACCAATGACAGCGGCCCTGGACTGAAGTTGCCGCGTGACAGGGATTTGGTGTGAGCTGACACAGTCGAGGGGGCTACCCGATGTCACGTTGCCTCGTCGCAACCATTGAAGCATGCCAACCCTGGACCACCACCACTTCCACAAAGTGAGTGCGGGGCTACCGAACGAGAATCCCTGCTCCCGAAGGCATAGCTTGTGACAAAGGCAATTTCTCTGTGAGCATGGCAACGAGTGAAATGTGACCGACAGGAGCCGTAGCCAGTTTATAACTGCTGGTAGTCAGTGATTCGCCCTGGGTTGTTCCCTTGTTGGATCCGTTTTTAGGCTTTGGTCTTGAGATTTAGCGTAGGACTGTATTGCGAACACTGGCCGCCTGTCTACTTTAATTGGGGTGCACACACTCAGGAATGTGACAGCGAGCTAATTAACTCGATGTTGTGACGAATGACCCCTTGCATGTCAATCAGTAACTGATCTGTGCAGACACATTTGTGGGCCATGAGATGGGTTTGAGGTTATGTGTGGTGAGCCTTTAAAGGGGTTGATCCTGACCGTGTTGTTGCCCTTGTCCGAAAACTGCAGAAATGGCCCATATAAACAGACAGATAGTAATTTGCCCATGGGCCGTGACAGAGCACTGACCGCGGTGAATCTGTACAAGAATATAGGAAGGCTGTGCTGAGCCAGGTGCATGTTTTTGCGGATGAACTTACTTTAGTAGGACCTGTTACTTTCGCTGCTCCTCACTGCCACCTGCCGGAGAAGTGCCTTTTTCCGTTTGGTTATGTTGTGGTTGTCTTTTTGCTGCACTCGGGTTTGTATCACTGACTCCGGGGATGGGCAGTGAGTGTAGCCTCCAGATCGAGAATGTCCCGACGTAATCCGTGGCCTTACCTTCTGTTGGTGTGTTTCTATCATCGGGATGTTCTTGTGACTAGTGACCATTTAAGTCCCCGCGGAGCTGTCAACGGCGTGCCATGTCGGTGACACAAAAACTACTACTACTACTACTACTACTACTACTACTACTACTACTACTACTACTAGTGCTACTACTGCTACTACTGCTACTACTGCTACTACTGCTACTGCTACTGCTACTACTCCTACTACTCCTACTACTCCTACTACTCCTACTACTCCTACTACTCCTACTACTCCTACTACTCCTACTACTCCTACTACTCCTACTCCTACTCCTGCTCCTACTCCTACTCCTACTACTACTGCTGCTACTACTGCTACTACGACTACTACTACTACTACTACTACTACTACTACTACGGCTACTCCTACTCCTCCTGCTCCTTCTACTGCTACTGCTACTCCTACTGCTACTAACTACTACTCTTACTGCTGCTGCTGCTGCTACCGCTACCAGGGTGACGACTTCTACACTCCTACTTCCACTACCACTCCACCTGCTGCTGCTGCGTCTGCTTCTGCTGCTGAAACTCCTGCGTCTGCTGTAGCTACTGCTGCTGCTCCTGCTACTCCCATGCCAGCGGGTTGTTGTGCACATTTCCTCATTGAAGCAGCTGTTGGTCCTTGGGCTAAGTCACAGACCCCAGGCTGGTGAGGTAGCCGCCTAGTCTGGCGGACGCCAACTCTCCACACAGGAGTTTCTTGTTGATGTGGGAAGCTGCCGCTGCTGGAAAGACTTACCCCTGTTGCAGCGGGGGCCTCCCTTCGGAGATCCAGCCTTCCTGGTTTGTTCAGTTTTGTTGTTTGATTCTGCTTACGAAAAAGCACAGCAGCCGAGCAAAGCCCGCTGGTTCTGTGAGTGGTACGCCTAAAGCTCTGTTTTGCGAATAACTGCACGTGCAGAGTCCTCGGACCGGCGCGCAGGCTGCAACTTTGCGCTCCTCACGGGCTCAGTCCTACACGCGGTGTGAAGCAAGTCTTGCTATGCTTTTGTCAGATTGCTGCGAGGCAAGACTGGCCAGCCATGGGGCCGTTTCTAGTCTTGCTTGCTTTGTTTTAGGACTAGCTTGATCGGTATGGTTTCTGGTCTGCTGAAGGTGGCCAACAGCTGGCCTTTGATGAACATGCATAATCATACTCATTAATTATAGCCTGATGCCTTCAAGGTGCGGGGCAACCCACACGAGCGGTTGAATAACATGAATACTGCTACTGGTACGGTTACTGCGACTGCTACTTCCTGCTGCTGCTGCTGCTGCTGCGCTGCCGCTGCGCAGGATCCTGAGCATTCATATCGTCAATGCTTACGACGAAAGGGTGCATCTGCGAACTTTGGCACTTGAGAGCTTTTCTTTTGCCGACACGTCGGTGTGTCGAGTTCTTACATCTTATGCCCAAATGTCAGGACGCCTATCCTTAAGTTTCTCTCATGACCACCCTCCAATGCGGGTCGTCCTTACTAAGTTGGGGGAGGTACATGTGCCCCTTATGTCTTCGAAAACTGGAAAAGCCGGACTGCTTTACGTAAGGCAACTGGCCCACAAATGTCCGACCAGTTCTTGAAAACGTCAGCGACCTGTTCGTGAGACTTGGTGGCATTATTCGTGACAGTTTGGGCGAGCAAGGATGGAAGTTGCCAATTCCTGCGTCGCAAACTGCCTGATCCGCTTGAGAGACATGCAGCGAGGATACCCTTCGTGCTGTACATCACGATCATAACATTTGCGGCATTACGTGTAATTACTGCCGTGTTCCTCAAGGAGATTGGGAAAGTTGTTGGTTGACTTTTTGGCCGTTGCAGAGCTGTCATGAAGGACACCTTGGAGGCAGCTCAGAGTGACGCAGAACACCAAGTCGCAGAGAAGCTCAAGAGGAAGGCGCAATATGCGGCCTGCATGCTATTAGTGCAGGCTGATGCTGTAGACGGCCGCTCGAATGATTCATCCGCCAGCAATGCAGCGAGAAAGCACAGTGCAGTTTAGGTTGAGAAGCTGGAAGTCATGTTCAAGGCCATCGACGAAACTGGCAATGGCATGATTACCGAGGAGCGCCTGAACCAACTACTCTGCAATCCGCGGCATGACTGACAAATCTGACAACTTGAGCACACTGCGCGCGCCGTTGTCCTCGCATCAAAGGGGTGGGGGGCCGGCTGCAATGCTGCGAGCGCCAAGGACTGTGCGGGCTTATCTCGAGACTTTGGACTTGGCTGTGCCCGAGGGCACGGCTCTCTTCCACATTCTGGCTTCTTGGCGAAAGCAGATCTCTGGAAGGGCCGAGGGTCCCATGCCAAGCTGAAAGGACAATGGTGATGGTGAGGTGACGTTGGAGGACCTTTGCCAGGGTGGGACTGTGGTTTTACAAGCTTTCCATTGCACCGAGCCGACATGCTGCAGGAGTTTATAGATGGAATTCTCCGCTGCAAAGGGCCTGCAAGAGCCATCGATCAGGTGGACGTGAATCTCGGTAGGTCCCTTCGAGATGGCTAGACCCGCAGAGATATGTATGCATGCAATACCACTTCCTGCAAGTTGCAGTGTGACACAGGTGGCGCTTCACGCTGACATCAGGCAGCTAGATCACAAGCTCGCCGTTGCCGTGCAGCTGTGACCTGACACACAGACATTACTTCAGCTGCGGGACTGGCCGCAACAGGAGAGATCGAAGGCCACGGCGCAGCTAAGGCTGAGCGACTGGGAAAGGAGTCCCGACAGAAGTGGGACACAAAGCATCGATACCTCCTTGAGCCGCCTCGACAGCCGGAAGAACAAAGTGGCCGAAGCTGGGCAAGTTAAGTTACACAAGGCTTGGAGCAGTTAGCATCTTTCCAGCCAGTCGTTGCGCTGCGCAATGCAGGCAATGATATTTGTTATCGCTCTGTCAGACTGGCCCTTCCAGCTAACGGAAATGTTCGCGTAATTATGGTTTGATCTCTGCCCCCGTAAGGATTTGACCAAGGCTCTCGAGGAATAGGACCTCTCAGATCAGTGAAGGCTTCTGGCACTATGCGCGCCATGCTCGCCCCCCCTCCTGCATACACCCTGGATGCTTCTGCAATTCGACCGCTCCCGAACATGCCGGACATGATGTCGCCTGCTTACACTGGTTCCCCTCGACCACAAGCCCTGAGCAACATTTGGCCCAGTAAGCCCAAATTTTCACCTTCGTGAAAGACCCATCAGCTACATCCGCCGGAAAAGCTTGCAGAGGCTTTCCATAGAGCAACCCAGCCATGAATGCCATGCTATGTATGTGTGTACAGACGCATGTAGAACAGTAGGAAGGCATTGCCCCCAAGCATAGACCTTCCGGTGAGCTAGAGCAGAGGAACATCTGCGAGTCTTCCATTTGGACCAGTCCATGGAGTTGGACGTGGGAAGGAGCGGCACGAGTTTAGGATTTTTGCAGGTTTGGGATTTCAATCCCGCCGTACTGTAGCTGCAATCCGCCGAGAAGAATAATTCTGCTGAATTTCGAGGTTCAAGTCACTGCTCACATGCTGTAGCTGCCAGACATTGTGCTTTTGTCAGGATGCGAAGTGCGCGATCGGCCCGGTCCGGCAGATCCGGGTCCAGCGCCAGCGACGCGCGCTACAGCATCTTCTCGGTCCTCTCGGGTGCACCGGCAACCTCCCAGCCGGAATCCCGCAAGAATTCGCAGCTAGGACACTGAATGGTGTGAAAGTTCACACGATGAGTATGGCGTCCGAATTTCACGGGCCGTTTCGTAAATACCACACTTCTGGCAAGCTGAAGCCGTAGAGCTTTCGTGTCTCACCAAACGGCAAGCCTCCGCTGCGAGGAAACCTCAAAGCTGTGAGACAGTTCCAGCATGCCTTGTGCCGAACGTTCGGCTCTGACGCTCATGATCCTTGTCTGTCGAAGGACGTGATGCAGTGCAAATGCCTGCTTGCCTTGCCCTGCCGTATGCATCAGTGCCAACGCCTCACCCGTACCCTTCGAGCCTGCCCTTGTAGCGAAGACCATGAATAGGTTGATGGCATCTGCAGCCTGGCGGAAGTGCTGTCGAGGCGGCCCACCTGCCCTTGAGGTCAGTAAGTCTTCGAGTCTCAGCCGCCACCTGCGAGGGTTACTACGGGTTCTCCAGAAGCCCTTAAGCCCTTAAGGGCCCACGATGGCCCACGGCTCAAGAGAGGAACTTGGAAACGACCCTCACAAGGCAGCGAAAAGTCCGTCCGCAGCTGGACGGTTGGCTGAATCAGAAGGCCGACCGACATGTCAACCTCTTTGCGGAGATACATACACACATTATGCACACATTCTTTAAGAACATACAATAAAAAGTTATACGCTGAAGTACATACACACAGCGCATGTACATGTACGTCATACATACGTTCATGCACACATGCTGACGTGCATACGTACATACGCATGCATACATACATGGTCCTGGCACGTCCCGGTTAATTATGCAGTTTTACATAATGTATGTAGGACGTACACGTACACATATAATGCGCGTACATACGTACATGCACATAGAAACACACATACATACATTCATTGCTCCATACATACAGCCCCACATCCATAGACACTATGTGCACGCTATGTAATACATACATTGTTGGCTTTAGTTGCCGAGCGATGCTGGTATCGAGTGGTATCCG